TTTTAGAGTATGAACTGTAGATGGTACTCAGTACTACTCACTTTTTTTAGAGTATGAACTGTAGATGGTACTCAGTACTACTCACATATTTTAGAGAAGATGATTCTCACATATTTTATAACAGATGGTACTCACATATTTTAGAGTATGAACTGTAGATGGTACTCAGTACCACTCACATATTTTAGAGTATGAACTGTAGAAGGTACTCAGTACTACTCACATATTTTAGAGTATGAACTGTAGATGTTACTCAGTACTACTCACATATTTTAGAGTATGAACTGTAGATGGTACTCAGTACTACTCACATATTTTAGAGAAGATGATTCTCACATATTTTATAACAGATGGTACTCACATATTTTAGAGTATGAACTGTAAATGGTACTTAATACTACTCACATATTCTAGAGTATGAACTGTAGATGGTACTCAGTACTACTCACATATTTTAGAGAAGATGATTCTCACATATTTTATAACATATGGTACTCACATATTTTAGAGTATGAACTGTATATGGAACTCAGTACCACTCACATATTTTAGAGTATGAACTGTATGTAGATGGTACTCAGTACTACTCACATATTTTAGAGTAGATTGTACTTACACATTTATAACAGATGGTACTTACACATTTTAGAGTATGAACTGTAGATGGTACTCAGTACCACTCACATATTTTAGAGTATGAACTGTAAATGGTACTTAATACTACTCACATATTCTAGAGTATGAACTGTAGATGGTACTCAGTACCACTCACATATTTTAGAGCATGAACTGTATGTAGATGGTACTCAGTACTACTCACATGTTTTAGAGAAGATGGTTCTCACATATTTTAGAGTAGATGATTCTCACATATTTTATAACAGATGGTACTTACACATTTTATAACAGATGGTACTTACACATTTATAACAGATGGTACTTACACATTTATAACAGATGGTACTTACACATTTATAACAGATGGTACTTACACATTTATAACAGATGGTACTTACACATTTTATAACAGATGGTACACACATATTTTATAACAGATGGTACTTCCATATTTTATAACAGATGGTACTTACACATTTTATAACAGATGGTACACACATATTTTATAACAGATGGTACTTCCATATTTTATAACAGATGGTACTTACATATTTTATAACAGATGGGACTTACATATTTTAGAGAAGATGGTTCTCACACATTTTATAACAGATGGTACTTACACATTTATAACAGATGGTACTTACACATTTATAACAGATGGTACTTACACATTTATAACAGATGGTACTTACACATTTTAGAGTATGAACTGTAGATGGTACTCAGTACTACTAACATATTTTAGAGTATGAACTGTAGATGGTACTCAGTACTGTCACCTATTTGTCAGATTACATTATATGGCAAGGAATGCCAACCACAAAAAATCACAAGAGTATTTGCTCAAACAAAATTCATATAACAGATGGTACTCACATATTTTAGAGTATGAACTGGAAATGGTACTCAGGACTACTCACATATTTTAGAGTATGAACTGGAAATGGTACTCAGGACTACTCACATATTTTAGAGTATGAACTGTATGTAGATGGTACTCAGTACTACTCACATATTTTAGAGAAGATGATTCTCACATATTTTATAACAGATGGTACTTACACATTTATAACAGATGGTACTTACACATTTTATAACAGATGGTACACACATATTTTATAACAGATGGTACTTCCATATTTTATAACAGATGGTACTTACATATTTTAGAGAAGATGGTTCTCACACATTTTATAACAGATGGTACTTACACATTCATGTAGTGACCTGCACTCTGTAGAGGCTCCGACATGTCCTTCTCTATACCGCTCCACTCACAAAACACACGACTGTAGTTAGCATGTACTTTGTGGATCCCATAAATCTTGTCAGCCATTCTCTGCAATTTTCAACAGACAAGTGACTGACCAATGAAAAAACAACAAAAGTGTGAATGATAAATTGATCCAAAACAGGCATGATACTAACCAATGAAAACAAGGCAGACATGTTAAAAACCAATGAAACAGTAGGCAGGCATGCTAATCATATATAATAACCCATGAAAATACAGTAGACAGTGTACTACCTAAACAAAGCCCAGCAGACATGTGACTGATAATTATAAACAAACAGATGTATTAGTATTTTCAGGAGAAACTAGAGAAACTGTGAGCGAGCTCACAAGGATAATTACCCCCACCCCCAGCTTAGGTAGACAGACAGACAAGGTGCGATCCCTATATACCCAACAAAGACGTCAATCAGTAAAATAATGGAATCACAAATACCTTCCTTTTATGTACATCTACATGATGTACTTTCACTGTGCCAAGTGACAAAAAATCCAACAAACAGTTAAGAAGGAGTTAAAGTTCACATAATTATTTTTTTCTATTTTTTCCCAAAATAACTTTCATTTTCCAGAAGACAAATAAATAAGATTCCACTGCTAAAATATCAGCACAGGAAGCTATACATTTACAATGAAAAAATTGAGATTACTTGACACTTGCATCAGGGATATTGGTGTGAAAATTTGAATCACTTACAGCTCGGATCTTCAGTAGATTGGAAATATTATTTTCAAGCTCATTGCTGTAGTTCTTCAGCTCCTCAAATCTCCGGTCTGGTTTCTTCAGGCGAAAAGATGCACTTAAGCTCTTCAATTTGGAATCAGCCTAAAAATGTAGTTAATTGAATGGCATTTTATAACAAACTTTATTTGTTTAGTTTGCAGGTCATTTCATACTTGATCTATACATGAATATGATCAACAATCTCCTTAGTTGATATCAAAAACAAGTGATGGCTAGATTAACAGATTAGTGGTGGCTAGATTAACTGATAAGTGGTGGCTGGATTAATGGATTGCGGTTGACTCACTACATGCATCAATACCTGACATTGGTCATTAGAATCCATTTATCTTGCTACGAGTACGATTCTAAAGAGCTTAAGTTACCTTGCTTTGGAAATCTGTGTTGTACACCAAGTCCTTCCATCCTTCCTCCTAAAAACAAACAAATTGGAAAAGCTCTTTATATAGCAAATAAATATGGTAGTACAAAAAAGACACCCGGTTTAATTTGATAGTAATATATACCTCATTTATTAAACAACACTATTATGAAGTTCAGGGAAGCCTGTCTTTACATACCATCCAAGGGAGATAATTAAGCAGACACAAGGCAAATATTGTATACTATATAAACACTAGATTTGATGCATGGGAGTAATATTGAAGTGGGTTCTTAAATAAACCTACCAACCAAACATGTTCCAATACCTATAAGAACCATAACATAAGATTTCTCCAATCAATCTCTTTTGAGTAATTGGAGACCAATCATGATGATGGAAATACTGAAACAGTTTCTGATTAACGTTCGCTATCTAAGGGAACTGGTAACCAAAGAAAGTCTGATCTTGTTAAAGCAAGAAATGGCTGTTCCTCAATAATAGAAAAAAAGACTGCTGAAAATGTATTTAGAACGAAATGAGACCATAAAGAATCATAAAATATTTTTTTGTTTTGAATGGAATTATGAAAATTGAAATGCTTCTTTTAAAACATTTTTAATTGTACATGTATGTAACACAGCTCTATTCAAATATATTCTCAAAGGTGTATTAGTTGGCATCATAGAATATAATATAGGCTGAATTAGCAGGTCCAGTTTTCAGTTCACATTCTATCTAATGATTAGAGTGATGTATATTACCTGCTGCAGGAATCCGATGAAGACCTTGTCTTGTGACAGGATGGGGTGAGCAGCTACTCTCAGTAGGAATATCTGTACAACATTTCATATAAAACATCAACAAAATCTTAGTTCATAGTCAACTCAGAAACAATCCATGGAATTGTTAAGTACAGGTATAAGGGCTACCAACCACAGGAGGTAACACAGTTAAACTTCATTATCTGGTTGGCAAAGAACTGATCAACTATTTGGATTGGTTCTTTGCTTATAAAACATTTCTTTTTATAGAATTTTTTAACAAATTTTGTTAATATGATTATTACAAAAAAACCACATATATATTAGTTAAAAGTTTCAAGTAAGAAAATTTCAACTTCCTTTAAAATTTACTTCAGAATTTACAAGTACTGTAATAGGAACCACTTAAGTGACAAAAAATGTTTTCAAGATAATAATGCTTTCATGTTCTCTTGGTCTGAGTTACCACACTGATTTGAAGACAGAAAAAAATGGATAGGAAATCATTTCTATATATATATCTTGGTTTTGATGTTTCCAAGTTCACTTTCAGTTATCAAGGTGATAAAGTTATTTGGGTTTACTTCCAAATAAATGGGTAGGCAAGTTTTCTAAGTTTACTCCCAGTAACCTGGAAATGCAAGCTTTTTGAGTTTTTGAAAACAAAGTTCAACTGTAGCTCTGAACTGGTTACTCGTATCACAATTTGAATACTATATATCTTTATTGTATTTCTTGAGATAGCATTGTGTTCTCATTGTTACTCACATTTCTTAAAGAGAACACTGGAATTCCTTTTAAGTTAGGTCTAGGGACCGAGATTCCTTGTAGGTTAGGTCTAGGGACCGAGATTCCATGTAAGATAGGTCTAGGGACCGAGATTCCTTGTAGGTTTAAGTCTAGGGACTGAGATTCCTTGTAGGTTTAAGTCTAGGGACCGAGATTCCTTGTAGGTTTAAGTCTAGGGACCGAGATTCCTCGTAAGATAGGTCTAGGGACCGAGATTCCTTGTAGGTAAGGTCTAGGGACCAAGATTCCTCGTAAGGAAGGTCTAGGGACTGAGATTCCTTGTAGGTTTAAGTCTAGGGACCGAGATTCCTTGTAAGGTAGATCTAGGGACCGAGATTCCATGCAAGGTAGGTCTAGGGACCGAGATTCCTCGTAAGGTAGATCTAGGGACCGAGATTCCTCGTAAGGTAGGTCTAGGGACCGAGATTCCTCGTTAGGTAGGTCTAGTGACCGAGATTCCATGTAAGGTAGATCTAGGGACCGAGATTCCATGAAAGGTAGGTCTAGGGACCAAGATTCCATGTAAGGTAGATCTAGGAACCATGATTCCTCGTAAGGTAGGTCTAGGGACCGAGATTCCTCGTAAGGTAGGTCTAGGGACCGATATTCCATGTAAGGTAAATCTAGGAACTGAGATTCCTCGTAAGGTAGGTCTAGGGACCAAGATTCCATGTAAGGTAGATCTAGGAACCATGATTCCTCGTAAGGTAGGTCTAGGGACCGAGATTCCATGTAAGGTAGATCTAGGGACCGAGATTCCATGAAAGGTAGGTCTAGGGACCAAGATTCCATGTAAGGTAGATCTAGGGACCGAGATTCCTCGTTAGGTAGGTCTAGGGACCAAGATTCCTTGTAAGGTAGGTCTAGGGACCAAGATTCCTTGTAAGGTAGATCTAGGGACCAAGATTCCTCGTAAGTTAGGTCTAGGGACCAAGATTCCTCGTAAGGTAGGTCTAGGGACTGAGATTCCTTGTAAGGTAAGTCTAGTGACCGAGATTCCATGTAAGGTAGATCTAGGGACCGAGATTCCTCGTAAGGTAGGTCTTTGGACCGAGATTCCTTGTAGGTTAGGTCTAGGGACCGAGTTTCCTTGTAGATTAGGTCTAGGGACCAAGATTCCTCATAAGGTAGGTCTAGGGACCGAGATTCCTTGTAGGTTTAAGTCTAGGGACCGAGATTCCTTGTAAGGTAGGTCTAGGGACCGAGATTCCTCGTTAGTTAGGTCTAGGGACCAAGATTCCTCGTAAGGTAGGTCTAGGGACCGAGATTCCTTGTAAGGTAAGTCTAGGGACCGAGATTCCATGTAAGGTAGATCTAGGGACCGAAATTCCTCGTAAGGTAGGTCTAGGGACCAAGATTCCTTGTAAGGTAGGTCTTTGGACCGAGATTCCTTGTAGGTTAGGTCTAGGGACCAAGATTCCTTGTAAGGTAGGTCTAGGGACCGAGATTCCATGTAAGGTAGGTCTAGGGACCGAGATTCCTTGTAAGGTAGGTCTAGATCTAGGGAACAAGATTCCATGTGAGGTAGGTCTAGGGAACAAGATCCCTTATATGGACCATGATCTCTTGTTTTAAAGGTAGGTCTGAGGGAGGGGAAGTAATTTTCTTTATCTTACAATAATAAACAATTGAATTACAGATAACTACACTGAAATACCCTTATCAACATTCTGGACCTCATGGTTATTCAGGAGAAGTTGTCTAAAGATTTTAAACAAATTTAACCCCAGTGACCTTCAATATAATTCAAGGTCATTCATTTGAACAAACTTGCTAACCCTTTATCCGAGCATGTTACTGGCAAAATATTGTCACCCTGATCATTTTCGTTAATTAGAAGAATTTGTTGAAAGTTTTTAACATATTTGACCCCTATGACCTTGAATATGGGTGAAGGTAATTTATTTTAACAAAGTTGGTAGCCCTTCATCCCAGCATATCAGTTACTGACCAAATATCACCATCCTTGTCCTTTTAGTTATTCAGAAGTTGCTTTAATATATTGAAGACAATCGACCCCCTGTGACCTTGAATATGGGTCAAGGTCATTCATTTGAAAATCTTGGTGGCCTTCATCCCAGCATGCTACTGGCCAAATGTCATCACCCTGAGCATTTTTGTTATTCAGGAGAAGTTGTTTAAAGTTTTAAACATATTTGACTCCAGTGAATTTGAATATGGGTGAAGTTCATTTATTTTAACAAACTTACTAGCCTTTCATCCCAGTTTGATTCTGGCCAAATATCATCACCCTAGGCCTTGTGGTCATTAAGAAGAAGTTGGATAAAGTAAAATATTGACGTCGGACGGACGACAGACGAATGCCGCACCACGGCATAAGCTCACTTGGCCCTTTAAATTTGGACCTGGTGAGCTAAAAATTAGGGTCACCACTTGAGAAGGACTAAAAAATTTGTTTATACTTATATAATGGGATCAAAGTAAAAACAGAATGTGGATGGTACAGTCACAAAATTGTCTCCCTGTCACTCTCCTATGTATCTTTTTCTGGAATAACTTTAATGATTCCTGTGGAAATTACTGATATCATTGTATCAACAAATTAAATCTTAGGAAGATTGTGTCTTACCTCTAACGCTGCCCTGCGTCTATCAACAAAGTCAGGGTCAAACTTATCAGTGGCCGAGTTCTGCCATACGTAAGTAACCTGTAGAATTAGAGTTATGTACTGTAAAGGTGGACATTTACAGGAGTAGAAACATTTCACATGAGCAATACTACATTTTATTGTACCTCAAAACACATGGTTTGTTAAACTGTTAATGCACATGTATGTGATTTTCATGCTTTAATAATAAACACAAAATAGGTAAATTTTCTAAAGTGAGAAAATTTAGATTCTACAGATTAGGTAGAAATTTCTTCAGATATGCTGGAACATATTACACAGATGCAAAAGTTTGTTGTACACTGCAAATTCCCTTTTTCTATTTTGGTCTTCTACAAAAAGGTGTTTACCTTTTACCAACACAAGCCTTTTGGTTCTGCACTCTATATATAAACTACCTTTTTCTCCGGTAATGGTGGTACTACTACTGCAGGGTATGTGATGTCTGCACTCTATAACTACCTTTTTCTCGGGTAAGGGTGGTACTTCTACAGCAGGGTATGTGATGTCTGCACTCTATATATAAACTACCTTTTTCTCCGGTAATGGTGGTACTACTACAGCAGGGTATGTGATGTCTGCACTCTATATATAAACTACCTTTTTCTCCGGTAATGGTGGTACTACTACAGCAGGGTATGTGATGTCTGCACTCTATATATAAACTACCTTTTTCTCCGGTAATGGTGGTACTACTACAGCAGGGTATGTGATGTCTGCACTCTATATATAAACTACCTTTTTCTCCGGTAATGGTGGTACTACTACAGCAGGGTATGTGATGTCTGCACTCTATATATAAACTACCTTTTTCTCCGGTAATGGTGGTACTACTACAGCAGGGTATGTGATGTCTGCACTCTATATATAAACTACCTTTTTCTCCGGTAATGGTGGTACTACTACAGCAGGGTATGTGATGTCTGCACTCTATATATAAACTACCTTTTTCTCCGGTAATGGTGGTACTACTACAGCAGGGTATGTGATGTCTGCACTCTATATATAAACTACCTTTTTCTCCGGTAATGGTGGTACTACTACAGCAGGGTATGTGATGTCTGCACTCTATATATAAACTACCTTTTTCTCCGGTAATGGTGGTACTACTACAGCAGGGTATGTGATGTCTGCACTCTATATATAAACTACCTTTTTCTCCGGTAATGGTGGTACTACTACAGCAGGGTATGTGATGTCTGCACTCTATATATAAACTACCTTTTTCTCCGGTAATGGTGGTACTACTACAGCAGGGTATGTGATGTCTGCACTCTATATATAAACTACCTTTTTCTCCGGTAATGGTGGTACTACTACAGCAGGGTATGTGATGTCTGCACTCTATATATAAACTACCTTTTTCTCCGGTAATGGTGGTACTACTACAGCAGGGTATGTGATGTCTGCACTCTATATATAAACTACCTTTTTCTCCGGTAATGGTGGTACTACTACAGCAGGGTATGTGATGTCTGCACTCTATATATAAACTACCTTTTTCTCCGGTAATGGTGGTACTACTACAGCAGGGTATGTGATGTCTGCACTCTATATATAAACTACCTTTTTCTCCGGTAATGGTGGTACTACTACAGCAGGGTATGTGATGTCTGCACTCTATATATAAACTACCTTTTTCTCCGGTAATGGTGGTACTACTACAGCAGGGTATGTGATGTCTGCACTCTATATATAAACTACCTTTTTCTCCGGTAATGGTGGTACTACTACAGCAGGGTATGTGATGTCTGCACTCTATATATAAACTACCTTTTTCTCCGGTAATGGTGGTACTACTACAGCAGGGTATGTGATGTCTGCACTCTATATATAAACTACCTTTTTCTCCGGTAATGGTGGTACTACTACAGCAGGGTATGTGATGTCTGCACTCTATATATAAACTACCTTTTTCTCCGGTAATGGTGGTACTACTACAGCAGGGTATGTGATGTCTGCACTCTATATATAAACTACCTTTTTCTCCGGTAATGGTGGTACTACTACAGCAGGGTATGTGATGTCTGCACTCTATATATAAACTACCTTTTTCTCCGGTAATGGTGGTACTACTACAGCAGGGTATGTGATGTCTGCACTCTATATATAAACTACCTTTTTCTCCGGTAATGGTGGTACTACTACAGCAGGGTATGTGATGTCTGCACTCTATATATAAACTACCTTTTTCTCCGGTAATGGTGGTACTACTACAGCAGGGTATGTGATGTCTGCACTCTATATATAAACTACCTTTTTCTCCGGTAATGGTGGTACTACTACAGCAGGGTATGTGATGTCTGCACTCTATATATAAACTACCTTTTTCTCCGGTAATGGTGGTACTACTACAGCAGGGTATGTGATGTCTGCACTCTATATATAAACTACCTTTTTCTCCGGTAATGGTGGTACTACTACAGCAGGGTATGTGATGTCTGCACTCTATATATAAACTACCTTTTTCTCCGGTAATGGTGGTACTACTACAGCAGGGTATGTGATGTCTGCACTCTATATATAAACTACCTTTTTCTCCGGTAATGGTGGTACTACTACAGCAGGGTATGTGATGTCTGCACTCTATATATAAACTACCTTTTTCTCCGGTAATGGTGGTACTACTACAGCAGGGTATGTGATGTCTGCACTCTATATATAAACTACCTTTTTCTCCGGTAATGGTGGTACTACTACAGCAGGGTATGTGATGTCTGCACTCTATATATAAACTACCTTTTTCTCCGGTAATGGTGGTACTACTACAGCAGGGTATGTGATGTCTGCACTCTATATATAAACTACCTTTTTCTCCGGTAATGGTGGTACTACTACAGCAGGGTATGTGATGTCTGCACTCTATATATAAACTACCTTTTTCTCCGGTAATGGTGGTACTACTACAGCAGGGTATGTGATGTCTGCACTCTATATATAAACTACCTTTTTCTCCGGTAATGGTGGTACTACTACAGCAGGGTATGTGATGTCTGCACTCTATATATAAACTACCTTTTTCTCCGGTAATGGTGGTACTACTACAGCAGGGTATGTGATGTCTGCACTCTATATATAAACTACCTTTTTCTCCGGTAATGGTGGTACTACTACAGCAGGGTATGTGATGTCTGCACTCTATATATAAACTACCTTTTTCTCCGGTAATGGTGGTACTACTACAGCAGGGTATGTGATGTCTGCACTCTATATATAAACTACCTTTTTCTCCGGTAATGGTGGTACTACTACAGCAGGGTATGTGATGTCTGCACTCTATATATAAACTACCTTTTTCTCCGGTAATGGTGGTACTACTACAGCAGGGTATGTGATGTCTGCACTCTATATATAAACTACCTTTTTCTCCGGTAATGGTGGTACTACTACAGCAGGGTATGTGATGTCTGCACTCTATATATAAACTACCTTTTTCTCCGGTAATGGTGGTACTACTACAGCAGGGTATGTGATGTCTGCACTCTATATATAAACTACCTTTTTCTCCGGTAATGGTGGTACTACTACAGCAGGGTATGTGATGTCTGCACTCTATATATAAACTACCTTTTTCTCCGGTAATGGTGGTACTACTACAGCAGGGTATGTGATGTCTGCACTCTATATATAAACTACCTTTTTCTCCGGTAATGGTGGTACTACTACAGCAGGGTATGTGATGTCTGCACTCTATATATAAACTACCTTTTTCTCCGGTAATGGTGGTACTACTACAGCAGGGTATGTGATGTCTGCACTCTATATATAAACTACCTTTTTCTCCGGTAATGGTGGTACTACTACAGCAGGGTATGTGATGTCTGCACTCTATATATAAACTACCTTTTTCTCCGGTAATGGTGGTACTACTACAGCAGGGTATGTGATGTCTGCACTCTATATATAAACTACCTTTTTCTCCGGTAATGGTGGTACTACTACAGCAGGGTATGTGATGTCTGCACTCTATATATAAACTACCTTTTTCTCCGGTAATGGTGGTACTACTACAGCAGGGTATGTGATGTCTGCACTCTATATATAAACTACCTTTTTCTCCGGTAATGGTGGTACTACTACAGCAGGGTATGTGATGTCTGCACTCTATATATAAACTACCTTTTTCTCCGGTAATGGTGGTACTACTACAGCAGGGTATGTGATGTCTGCACTCTATATATAAACTACCTTTTTCTCCGGTAATGGTGGTACTACTACAGCAGGGTATGTGATGTCTGCACTCTATATATAAACTACCTTTTTCTCCGGTAATGGTGGTACTACTACAGCAGGGTATGTGATGTCTGCACTCTATATATAAACTACCTTTTTCTCCGGTAATGGTGGTACTACTACAGCAGGGTATGTGATGTCTGCACTCTATATATAAACTACCTTTTTCTCCGGTAATGGTGGTACTACTACAGCAGGGTATGTGATGTCTGCACTCTATATATAAACTACCTTTTTCTCCGGTAATGGTGGTACTACTACAGCAGGGTATGTGATGTCTGCACTCTATATATAAACTACCTTTTTCTCCGGTAATGGTGGTACTACTACAGCAGGGTATGTGATGTCTGCACTCTATATATAAACTACCTTTTTCTCCGGTAATGGTGGTACTACTACAGCAGGGTATGTGATGTCTGCACTCTATATATAAACTACCTTTTTCTCCGGTAATGGTGGTACTACTACAGCAGGGTATGTGATGTCTGCACTCTATATATAAACTACCTTTTTCTCCGGTAATGGTGGTACTACTACTGCAGGGTATGTGATGTCTGCACTCTATATATAAACTACCTTTTTCTCCGGTAATGGTGGTACTACTACTGCAGGGTATGTGATGTCTTCACTCTATATATAAACTACCTTTTTCTCCGGTAATGGTGGTACTACTACTGCAGGGTATGTGATGTCCAGGTAGTTACGCAGCAGTTCAAATTCGCTATATCTCCGCCATAGTGATGTTGTTCCATCACCAAAACACTTGAGCTTCACATCCGTTATCCTCATGAAATGAAAATCAAACCCTTTTTAGTGTTTCTCATACCTCGGTAATAACATTCCTCGAACTGAGATGATTATCAACTATAAAGTTCATAGCATATATTCATTGTACTTTTTAGTTTTTGTTACTTTAATCTGATGAAAATTTATATAATATATGTATATATATAAACAATGTATACCGGTAATAAGAATGAAGTAGAATGATGTATAGAACAATGTATGCAGGTAATAAGATGAAGAATGATGTAGTGATATGTAAAACACTGTATGCTTCTTACAAGATGAAGAATGATGTATTGATATGTAAAACAATGTATGCTGGTTATAGGATGAAGAATGATGTATTGATATGTAAAACAATGTATGCTTATTATAAGATGAAGAATGATGTATTGATATGTAAAATAATGTATGCTGGTTATAGGATGAAGAATGAGGTGGTTATATGAATGAGGTAGCTATATGTAAAACAATGTATGCTGGTTATAGGATGAAGAATGATGTATTGATATGTAAAACAATGTATGCTTGTTATAAGATGAAGAATGATGTAGTGATATGTAAAACAATGTATGCTGGTTATAAGATGTAGATGCTTAATATATAAAAATATGCAAATTATTGAAATAAAACATTTTGAAAAGAAAAAAAAAAGTTCCTTAAGAAGGTTCAATACTTTATAAATTTGCATGAGTGAACAATGCAAAAAAGTAGTATTATTCTCCAGATGAAAAATAACTGTCACTGGTAATAATAATAGTAAAAATTTGAGGTTCTTATATACCACTTTATCACAACCTAGTCTGTAGGTGGTCTCAAAGCGGTTCACAAATTATAATATAGTAGTAGGGCCTTTGTAACCAGCCAATATCTTTCTCAACTCCCTGGGGAGCATACAGCCGGTGCTGCCATTTCAGCACTCACAGCTAGCATTCTACAATTCAATCAATACCCCACCATATACTCATGTACAGCTGAGTAGACTGGAACAAGCAGAACTTGCTCAAAGATACAACACAGTGCCGTGACTTGAACTCTCAACCCTTTGGCCACGAGCCCTGCATCCTACCACTAGACTACCATGCCTACTATACACAATTGTTTCAGAATTGTAAATAATGGACCACATGTACACCTGAAACTTTGACATATTCCTGATGTAGATACCCACCTGGTCTCTATGAGATATACAATGTATGACATATTCCTGATGTAGATACTCACCTGGTTTCTATGAGATATACAATGTATGACATATTCCTGATGTAGATTCTCACCTGGTTTCCATGAGATATTCAATGCATGACATATCCTGATGTAGATTCTCACCTGGTTTCTATGAGATATACAATGTATGACATATTCCTGATGTAGATTCTCACCTGGTCTCTATGAGATATACAATGTATGACATATTCCTGATGTAGATACTCACCTTGTTTCTATGAGATATACAATGTATGTGTCCTGGACTTTCATGGATGTTGTTGTTCGTTTCTCAGGTTCAGAAACTGATATCTCCATCCATTGCAGCAAATTTGTCTGACGAAAAAAAATAGAAAATGGATATACAATATTATATTGCCACCGACACTGCATCAAGATGACACTTTCCTGAAGCATGGATGACTTAACTTTTTACTTAGTATTAATTCTCAAATTATGCACCAGTTCAACTTGGAGATGAGTTGACACAATCATTTACAAAAATTAAAAGTAAAGTTTTACCACCATGAGAAACCTGTAATCAAAAGAGTACAAGAACCTAGATAATTTTATATGCACAAAGGTATTTATATGCGTATATCAAAATAGTGTTGGTGGCCCCTGAGGAAACTTCTTCCAAAATAAGTTGTGAAATGACTGTTACGTCACTCTTGACGTATATCAGTACAGTGTTTACATTGTTGTCAAGTTTTACCCGAAGATTAAAATACTATAACTACATCAAATGAAAAATACCAAAATAATTTCTTTGAAGCTCTAACTTAAAAACTCATTTTCAGGGTTAGACACTAACTTGTTTTGCTTGGTAGTCCACAGGACTAGTTGAATAGATTATTTACTAGTCCTTCGTCAATGTAACTAGTTAAAGATTTCCCGATAAGGAAACATTGCGATCTCCAGCACGAAACATCAAAAGTAAGGAACTGTAAGGGACTTCAATTAATTATATAACTTACTACCATATTATAAAAATATGATAAAGTTTTAGAAAAATTTTGACAATTATCATGCAATATATCTAAATATTTTAAGCAGTTTTCTTTTATATAAAAGGATTATTCTTATTTTATAATCATATTTTTCACATGTCGAAAGGACCAGTTAGGTTAGGTGATTTACAATTGTACTAGTCCTTGCTGAAATCTACTAGTCCAGGACTAGTGGACTAGTGTTAGTGTTGACCCTGGATTTTGCTTTTAAATTTTCTTATTACAATATCTGCACTGTGCATTACAAATTTTGCCCTGAACAGTCAGGGACTAATTGTATTTCTTCATCCATTTTATTATATATACTTTACATTTTTCATGCATTTCTACATGTTTTTCCTGACACATGCAACAGGAAAATGGAAATGCAAAGGCTAGACCGGGTTCAAACCCAAGACCATCCAAACTCTAGACTGAAACTCCACCAAATGAGCTTACTGGTACCCGACGATCAACCAGGTCCTGTTCCGCTACTTTCCTCCCTCCTTTTTCTTAGTTTTGTCCCAAAAAGACAACACTATTTACAACTCAAATTCGGATATCTCCTTGCTAAGCATTCACCCAGTGCTTGAACAGGGTTGACGAGCTCGCCAATTTTGTAACAGAAGGAGAAGAAATGCAAAGTGCTGAAACATCTAAGTACCGAAACGCCTGTACTCGCTGTCATTTTGGTACCAGGATATTCCGGTTCTTGTGGTAACCAGATAGCTCAATTGGTAGAGCGTCCGTCTCGAGTTAGGACAGTCTCGGGTTCGAGCCATAGTCTGGCTAGCCCACTTAAACTGACCATAATCGCAGCCTCAAAAATTCTGATAGGTCGCCTGTTTATTGTCAGATATCGACTGCTCTATAAAATATGAGGATTTGTCGTCAAAATCTGGCAACAGCGATTGTGAGCGTTTTACATGTTAGTTAGAGAAAATATTTATACCTATATTTCAGTTGATTAATTTCTCACTCACTTGACTAGATGTCATGTCCGTACTCGGTACATTATGGACGCTACATTGTTTTATTCAATTGGGATGCTCTCGACTGCCCAGACATCAGTACCAGTTTACCTTTTCCTCTCAATCGAGTTGTTTTCGTAATTATAATGCTGAGAAGTGCTAGAAATATCAAAGTTATTTTTATATTACTAATTAATGTAATAAATATATATAAATCCAACGTCTTAACTTAGTTTGTGTCAGCTAAATGATCACTGCGTAACCAATATTTACATTTGATCAAATTAACCAGAAGTAATTTTGATTGGCTATAGCTGGTGCACCCTATTGTTGAAGGCAAAATGGCTGTCAATGTGAGCAGTCGAAAGCATCTCAATTGAATAAAACGATGTAGCGTCCATAATGTTTCAAATTGGGACATGACATCTTGTGAAGTGAGTGAGAAATGAATATAGATGATGAAATATTTTCTCTAACAAACATGTAAAATGCTCACAATCGCTGTCGCCAGAATTCGACGACAAACCCCGTGTTTTATAGGCAGTCAATATCTGACCATAAACAGGCGACCAATCGGAATTTTTGACGCTGCGATTATGGTCAGTTTATATTAAGTGGCCATGGGCAAGCCAGACTATGGCTTGAACCTGGGACTGTCCGAACTCTAGACGGACGCTCTACCAATTGAGCTATCTGGTCACCACAAGTACCGGAATACCCTGGTACCAAAATGACAGGGAGTACAGGCGTTTCGGTACTTAGATGTTTCGGCACTTGTAGAAGACGTTTCGACACTTCCAAAAAGTGCAAATATTCAACTTCGAACTGTGTTTGCTTTTATGTGCACTGTGTGTTGCTGATTTTACATATTTACAAAATATACCGAAACATATTATTCTTGCTAAACCGAAGCGACGGCCGGGTACCGAAACGTCTAGGATTCCATCTCATTTGGCCTACTGCACAGTAAGCTTAACAGTATCGATTTTCTTAAATCGTCTGTCCGGTTGGGTGCCAACTGATCAGGACGTAGTATGCTCTCTTTTCTGTAAAATAATTGAAGGGTACCAAAATTATCAGTCAGCGATAGTTACTTTCCCAGCTTTTCTTGCAAGGTCTGTGGGGTCCTCATCTGGGGAATTTGGGAAGATGTCTCGAGGTTGCTCCTTTTCCTCCTCCATCTTTTATACTTAGCATATAATCAGGATCATTGGAGTGCTTATAATCTAGAACGATTTACTAAATTTAGAGCCGGGAATCTCGTATTCCGCACAAACCGAGAGTATGCTTAGACACTAAATTATACTTAGTGATTTTAAAACGCTTATCTCTGTCCGTATTTTCTACATAGATCATTACATACATTCAACGGTTTACAAAAACAAAGAAACATAACTATGACTATTTGAACAGGCTCTACCTGTTGTAACAATATAGACTCTTGCAAATGGCACAATACGTGATATATCTAGCGCATACCAGTTAATTTGTTTTCGTTTTCAGTTTTCCTTTTGTATCAGTTTTGATATGATTGCTCTAACATTTATGGACGTCGTCTGAAAGTCCATTTGATAAACATATTCATGCAAGAATGATAGAGACTGGTGTAATTGATCATTCATTAATTTTCTGTGTTAATTATCAAAATATTATCAATGATCAATCCGGGTATATATACGTTGTACCCTGACCCAGCATTACGATCGTAACATTAGTCACTTTTTGAGCTTCGACCCTTGCCAATCTACGCGGAGTCACGATAGGAGGAGGGCGGTGAGAACAATATTTGTACGTGTGTATACTGACTCTTTATTATTTTAACCTTAGGTACCCGAAATTAGCGCATATACATATTGTTTACTTTCTTAAACGACAGGCATTATAATGGTTGAATATATTGTAGTTGTATAACGATCAATAGTGGAAATCGAAAGAGGATGTATTTGACGTAGAAGAAGGTACACGTACATGTAGGAACAATCAAACAATCCTAGACAATGTGTGCTTTATAGACAATGACAGGTTTACTTGATTACTCCAAAACTACGATGGCCGACAATTGCAAGAGCCTGGCAAAAAGATGTGAATTTTCATATCTTTTTGTACCANATATTCCAGTTAAAATAGCGTCTGACATATAAAATGTCAATACCATTAAACATTTACTAATGTACAAGTGTGAATGTGGTATACTTGGCCCATAAATCAACATGGACTAGTACTTATATAGTAATTAGTAATACTTAATTGTATTATGATATTTTTACTTTATATTATAATGATCATGTGAATATGTATATTAGCTTATTTAATTATTCACTAGCCACTTTTTGTGGATCTTGAATCCCAAGAAAGACCTAGTGAAGGACGATGGACACTATTCACTCATTTCCTTGGTGAGTTCAAGATACAGCACGGACTGAACTGTAATTTCTATAACCAATTCGAGTTATCTCCCCTATACTATTGACTTTGACATAGATATATATATAAGTTGTACCTTGTTTCGATTTTTCATTTCACTATAAATTGATATATATACCATTGCATACAAATGCATGCAGGGGGAGCTGATGTAGGCGTAGCCTGCTGATCGATCCTATTCAGGATTGAAATTTCATGATACGTTATCTGGCGCATAATTTATTTTCGTTTTCATTTTCCCATTTTTGTCCGTTTTGATTCAATTTTATCATACATTCTCGACTTCGTCCTTAAGTCCATTTCATATACTCATTTATGCAAATATTATAGAGACTGGTATATTTATCATACATTTATTTTCTGTGTTAATAATCAATCAATCCGGATGCATTGTACCCGGCATTATGATCGTAATATTAGTATTTTACCACTTTTTGAGCTGTGACTTGCTGTGACCCGTGTCGATCTACCCAAACGTGTGGAATGGTATGATAAGGGCGCTGAGAACAATATTAACGTAAGTACCAAATCTTTATTATATCAAAACTTACGTTTTAATCAATAAATATTTTTCATTTTCTTAAAAGACAGGCATTATAATAATAGTTGAATATAATGTAGTTGTAATGATAGTGATAGATATATGGAAATCGAAAGAGGATGTATTTGACGTAGAAGGTAGGAACAATAATAATAATAATGATAATTCGAGGTTCTATATACCGCTTTATCACAACCTAGTTCGTAGGTCGTGCCAAAGCGGTTCACAAATTAGTATCCGTGGTTATAGGGTCTTTGCAACCAGCCAATATCTTTTTCAACTCCCTGGGGAACATACATCCGGTGCTGCAATTTCAGCGCTCATAGCTAGCTTTCTACAATTCTAGCACAACCCAACCACGTACACATTTACAGTTGGGTAGAGATTTCTTTCATACATTTTTTAACGTGAAGAAATGAAAACATCCGATAAAATACTCAATGTTAATAAACTTCCGATGTGCAATATTTATCGCAATATAAATCTTCGTAATTCCTTATTTTTTGTAGAAAAGCAACCAGTTTCTGTGGACGTGTGCAATGGCAGAAGGTGGTCCCCAGCCGGCCTCTCTTGGCCCATCGTCTGTAGACAGCACCGATCTGTCGGACTCGAACCTGCTCGATTGTCCTGTATGTCTGGAGCAGTTACGTCAGCCGAAGTCTCTACCGTGTCTCCATTCTCTTTGTGAGGAATGTTTGAGTAGGTACATCGTCAATGAGGTGTCGGGGACGAGCGATGCGACGACTTCCTTTACCTGCCCGGTGTGTAGGACGTTAACTCACCCCATGGACAAAACAGAGGACAAAGAAAAATGGGCCAAGCAGTTTCCAACTGACAATGTTGCCATAGAGATTATACAACTGAAAAACGGGACGACAGAACCACATTACTGCATGCCCTGCCAAAAGAAAGGGAAGATGACAACGTCTGCACAATTCTGGTGTAAAACAACCCAGTCTTTATTCTGCCAGTCCTGTAAGGTGGATTTCCATGATATGATTCACATCAACTGTGACATCGTAGATATAACAGAGTCGAAGAGTTTCCTACTAAAGCAGTTAACATCTGACAAGACATGTGATAAACACAAGGAAAAGATGGATTACTATTGCATGGACCACAAGTCCCTTGGCTGTTGTAAATGTATCACTGTTGGTCACAGAAAATGTGAAGAAGTGGCGACGACAGAGGATTACTGCGAGAAACTGGAAAGCAGTTCACGATTACAGGAAATGACGAAATCTCTACGACAAGGGACAGAGGCAATGGAATCTCTAATCAGAGATTTTTATCTTCAGCTTCAGAACATTGCTGACGACAAAGACACAGCACTGAAAAGCATCGAAGACCTGCATGAACGGATAAATATATGTATCAACGACATGAAAAAGGAAATAACAGACGACTTGGTCAGAGCGTACAAAGAGGAGAAAGAAAACCTGAAGCTATCTAGTCAGAAATGTGAACGGTTAAAGGTTGCTATACAGAACACACTGGAGTCGTCCACCACAGCAATGCAAGGCAACGACCACATTGAAACAATCCTGCTATACCAGAGAGGTCAGACGGAGGTCGAATCCTGTAAGGGTTTGGTGAGAGAGATGCGGAAATCCCTTTCAACTATCACTCTTGAGCATAAAACTGACCCTGATGTGACAAGCCTGGGCAAAGTTTTGAATTTTGGGAAAATCGTTGTCCGAAAGCAGGGGAGAATTTCTCCATCTGGTACAAAGACATTCGCGAAACCTTTATCCGAATGTGAAGTGAAGGAAGTAAGAAAGGTCAATATCAAATGTCCATCCGATACGTCTGATTGTGCTGCACGGGGAGTTGTTTACCTTGACGACGGCAGAATTGTGGTGAGTGATTACAGAAACAAGAAGATCAAGCTGATCAACACAGAGGGAGATATTGTAGACGAGCTGAAGATGGGTGGAAATCCCTATGATCTGTGTATGGTGGACAACTCCACGGTGGCGACTGCTATAGACATCCCTGGTGGTATACGTATACTGACAGTCACTCCCTCCAAACTTACCCTGGCGTCTGAAATAAACACAGAGATGCCATGTTACGGTATAGCGTATAGAGATGGCGGATTCGTCGTGAGTTCAGGATCCGAGGTTTTCAGTGTGATCCGTGATGGTACAAAAGTAACGACACAGAAACTATATGGGGGTACAGATACAGTATTTGCTTTGTCTTATGATTCAAAGTATGGACGACTCTACACCACCAATTACTCATACAGTACTGGCAGTCAGGCTGTTGGTAAGTTGTCAGATGACAACAAGCACTCTGACGTTTTGAAGGTTGGTGTAGTTAAGACTGCGTATGGAGTGGACGTAGACGGGGAGGGTAACGTCTATGTCTGTGGTTACGGCTCCAACAACGTGGTACAGATGTCCGGGGACGGGACCAACGTCCGGGAACTGTTAACGGCAGCGGACGGTATCGACAACCCTGAGGCAATATCTGTATGTGGGGATAGGCTTGTGCTCACCAACCTTTCCTCCAAACAGTGTAACTTTATCACGGTGTTTCAACTTATTTGATAAACAATTTACACATTGACACCTAATGTGAGGTTCATTATGGGTCTAATTGAAAATAACTCTATTTTTTTACTTTCAAAACTTAGTAAAATGTACTCGCAATCTACAAATAATCAACTTATAATATGTAGAGTATAATTAGTGTGACCGGTGTATTTTTCCTCTCAATTGTAGCCAAAGACTATATAATAAGCTGAATATAGGAGGAATATAATGCCGATACAATCCGACCCTTCGCTTTAAATTTCATTCTTTTTTTTTAGTTTAGTGAATTATACTTATGTTATCTTTCCATTAAGATATACACAATGAAATTGTTTTAACAAATATTTTCAAAAATGACAAAAAAATATGCCTGTGTTAAAATTCCATTTGGAATGAAAATTAAAGGATTTCCCCTGGACTTTTCGTTATTATCTTCATTCGGTGAAAAGATGATACATGTAGCTATGATATCAGTCACAGGCGTGGTTTTAGTAAATGTATGCACAAACAACAGGATAGCGTTATACCAAACCAGGGACCTGTATTCATGAAACCTTTCTCTACTCAAACTCATATTTTTTGCTCAAGCCCAATTGCTTATTCCAGTAATAAATTGATAAAAACATACATTCTGTCAATGAATTGGAAGAACTTTGAGAGAATTAGGGCCAAGTATCATTAACGATGTTTAAATTTGACTTTTAAAACGTGTATCATGATTTTAAGCCAGTTAAAAGAAAGTAGGTTTGAGCACAGAATCCATGCATGCTTGAGCACGAACATGGTTTCATGAATACGGGCTCAGGACTCTTGGATGTATAGCCCGGCATTGTTTATAAGTATGTGTCTAATAGATTTACCATATCATATAGATACAGAAAGGGGCTATAAGTAAATAGGTAAATTATTCATGTAAATAATTAACTAGTCACTGACCATAGTGCCTGTCAATCTCGGCCCAGACTCGTATTGTTTTTATAAGTAAAATAAAACAGAGTCAGGTGATGGCACGTCGTCCGTACTTCAACAATCCTTGTTATCGCTAGTCATCGAACAGTTCTCGGCAGATCTTTCTCAAATTCCATAAGAAGGTTCAGTAGTCAATCACGTTTCCCTTTGATACTGTTGGGAAAACCAAACAAAAACGGATGGTCGGGTTGGCAGTGGATAGCGCACTCCGCTTTCACCAAGACAGTCAGAATTCGATTCCCCGATTAGGTTATAAAAATGTATTGGGTCACTTGCCCAACTACGATTTTCCTACTGGTACTCCGGTTTCTTTCCACATTAAGACTCCATTTTAACCTCATCCGGGCCAACAAGATTGATTCTGCTTGGTGAAGATAACAAAGAAAGGTTTGATCTGGACTCGAAATCGATAAAACTAGTGTAAATATGAACAGAGAAATGTTTACATGGGAGACCCTTGAAAAATTACAAGGAGAATAAGATCAGGTGGTCAGAGGGGTATGCGTCCCATGCTTCATGGACGACACCAGCAATGTATGATATAGGTCCACTGTCCACAACCTGTATCTTTGTAATCCCCATGTTGATGGTGTGTCCGCCAGCAATCGATATTTATTATAAAAAGGTATAATACACTGCGACTAGTAAACACCATAGGTTGTAAAAGTATGGATGTTACTAACAAGAAAGAGAAAATTACGATCGAATGGAAAATCAAAATCGTCCCGCTTTTCGTACAGCTTAGTAGTAAGATGTCCCCGTTGATAAAATGTTGTAATTAGTTAAGATCGAGAAAGCGGTTTGAAGTATCCGTAGGTTCAAGTTCAGGAGGCTATATATATACGGTCGGCGTGGTCAATAAGTATTTTGTTATTTAATGACAGCACGTTATTTAAATATATAATTGTAAAAGTGAAGGACATTGTAAGATTGTTCCAGTCCTGGTAAGCTTTAAATAAATTAAGTCTCATATGAAAACAGAAACATGTCGGAGAGAAGAGGGGCACAACTTGTTCCCATAGGAATACCTACTGTTTGCTAGAAAATCTTGCCACCAGCTTCCACAAATATATATAAATCAGTTAAAATTCTCACAAGTTCATCCTCGTTATATTTTATGGTGGCATTTTTTAATATTTTTCATAGAAATTGCCTTTCTAGGGGAAAAAACTCTCGTACTGTCTGCAGTTGATGGAATCATTTAATTAAGGGTCATCGTAAAGGGCTATTCCACTGAAATGTCATTACCCGGAAATGGTAGCATGACACCCCGACTGGTCACATTATACTGACAGTGGTCTAATCAGTCCTTAGGACTTTGATTTGACACAGTCGATCAGGGGACAGAACTCACAACGCTTGGACGTACAACAAACACCAAAGCGTTCCTTTATCTAGGTGTGAGGTATTTTAGTGTATAGAAAGTGGTAAAATAAGTCAAATGTTTTGGAAGAAGAAACATTTTAGGAAAGAATGCTGAACTTCAAAATCTACGTTCCAACACTTTAATTTTTGGAGAATACTGTGTCACAACACTCACTGTTATATTACCCGGGTTTATTGGTATACAAGTTTAAGAATGAAAGTTATAGAAGTTTGAATAAAAGGTTGATTAATATCTAGAAGAGCAAGTTATGAAACGTTGTTTTTCGACAAAACGAGGGACGTCCGTATCCTTATCATCAAATAACCTACAACAAGTCTAGTTCTTTCTGCAAGCATGGCTTTTAATAGTGCAACAAGGATTGTAAGATAAATAAGACAACTAACAGTGTTATTTTTAATGGTTTATTTGTCTACAGAAACATAATCACCCTTATCGTGTAGATCGTGGAGCGTGATTTGAACATCGAGGCCAAGGCATACCAACTTGTGCTTGTTTTCTATTCTGGGCAATCTTTTTAATGATGGACCCGATAGAATTATTAGTGTTAAATAAATATCTGTCAACATGTCTTCTGTATGTACAATGTCACTGGTATCAGTTGCGCGGGTATAAGGCATGCCATTTTTTTCTTCAATCTTATGCAGCTCAGCTGTAGGGACCGCCGTCGCCGGGCACTCCCAAATGGAAAGATCCTCTAATCGTTGGCCAAAATTAGCCGTTTTCACTCAGGAACCTCTAAAACCCCTGTGCAAGACTTTTCTTTTCGACAGCTTAAGTCACAACACATGTCACATGCTATGTAATGGAAGATAAATATAATACTCAGTTCGACTTTATATCAAAGTTAGTGCATTCAAACAAGATTATGTAATATGGATCGAACTGCAAATAAACACATTGCAACTAGTTGTAAGCATGATTTGATAGTAACAACCCGCCTTCCTCAGCTCAATAGACTTTTTAACGAAAAGACCAAAATCGCACAAAAAAAATCGGTATATTACTTGTATGTCAGTTAATGGTGTATTTTTTTTCAAAACAATTTCCTTATGTGTAAGCTGTACGCACAATGAAGAAGAGATGTTCCTCGTCGTGTGTGATTCAGTTTTATGTTACTTAATTACTGTAGTCTACGGACTTAATTAGATAGCACTAATCCAATTCCGTGCTGTAACAAATTAGCAGGTCCATGTAGTCGCACCTAGTAATTTAGCATTGGCGGATCCAGAGGGGTTTTTTTGGCTTCAGGACCCCCCCCCCCTCCCCCCCTGATAAATTTCTTTAAAAATGATGTATTTTCACCATTTTCCCCCCACATGGAAACCCCCCAGGAAATTTGGAACCCCCCCCAGATAGGTCTCTGGATCCACCACTGTTTAGCTATGCTGCTTGACAAAGCCTTGCAAGGCCTGCATACGAACTTGCAGGTCCTCCAGGATTTATACCCGAAAATGTTACATTTAAAAACAGACAAACCAGTTGAACCGGCTACGTAAAGGAGTCTAACACTGAATTATATCTAAGTCCATGGTTACAGCTATATTTGGACCTAAATTAAGGTGTTCAGAAATATATTACAAAAAGTGTTAAGGTAAACTTTCAGTAAACATGCCACAGGGTTGATCTTATCCCCTAAAACGTGTAAAATTATATCAGAATATTTCATAAACTACCAACTGTGGTCCAAAATGTTGATATTGCTCTGTTTTCTAAAGCCTTTGATAAAGTTCCTCATTCTAGACTTCTATCTAAACTCAAATATCAATATTCGTTACATGGTCAAACTCTAGAAAATTTAGATTCTGGAAAATAACTAGGGGATGTCATCAACTCAGAACTAAATTGGAACAACCATATACAGCTCAGTAGACTTCCATCACAAACTTTTTGAGTCTGTCCCTTATAGCTAGACTGGCAGAAGAAAAATGCAAGCTGTTCAATCGTTTGGATCGCGATAAACGCGATTTAATAGGATTTTTCTCTGTGTCACAGAATTAGATAAAACTGTTATTTCAGTCCGTGTCTATACTTATTATTCCCTTTCTTGTATAGATCATTAAGTTTATTTATATTGTGAGTCGATGTTAAAAGAAATACGGATTTTCGACTCATTCGGATCGGTTTATTAGTCATTTGTAGTGCGTCTGAAAGACCACGATTGTTGTTATTCAGAAAGGCGCCAAATTCGTCATCAGATGCTGAGAGTCGTTACCGGGAATTATAAGTTATCATCCGATATATAACATCTTGCAACCAAATTGAAGGTATTAATAGTAACATCTTTTCTTGCGAAGCTAATTCTGTCTTAGATAAATACTTCACCACTCTCATTTAGTGTTTTACTCGGCTACTGGTCAGAGTGAATTTGACAGTGTTTTGTTGTGCACCTAAAATTCTAGGCTAGGTCTATCCACGGACTTAGATAATCTAATTCCGTGGTCTATCGTGTCATTTCTAAGATAAAAAGGTATATGAGAGATGTAAAATATAAACCAACAGGTCCTCGGACTGTACACAGAAGATCGGAAATCCATAAACTGATTAACTCTTTGGGTAGGAATTTAGCGCCTATATCACTCATCATCAGGCCATTTAGGGGACGTCTCGCACCGGGTCGTTTCGCACAAAACGTAACCTTTCTAGACTTTTTAGACTTACATAGCCACATGAATGTTTTCTTAGCCTCAAGTACATGTATCATATACCCCAAAGTTATTACGGAACCACAATCTTTCATGAAACATAAAACATCGGTTGTAAATGCAGAAACCACGAAGGACTTTGAGATCATGTTGGATAACCATCTGCAGGACACTATTTACAATAATTACTGATAATGACTTTTAAAATAACTCTTTTGGGAAAGTTTATATATGTTAACCAGTGACAATATAATATTTTTATACTATGTTTTGTGATATGGACTTAGAGGCTTTCAGCCTGCGTCCATTATTTTTCAATTAAATTCAATTAAATAAAACAGTAAGTTTTTAATATTTATAGCATTTATTACATTTTATTCAGTCAACGACACCTGATGACATTTGAGACCCTGCAGTCATGATGCATGTGGAATTACAAGCCACATGTAGTGCACTCGGCTACCTAGAGGGAAATCGTTATGTCAAAGAACCAGAATGTCTTGGTAAGTTAATATCCCTATATATAATGGATAAGTCCGGATCCTTATATAATTATTATCAATCAATGGAAGAGGTGTTGATCTTGGATGCCTGTTGTCTAGGGACTTTAGAAGAAATAGCATCAGATACTGATTTATGTACAAATGTACATGTCCTTACACCAAAACAAAACCAATGCCATTATGGTAGGGTATAATTATAAGCTATTATAAGCTAGAATGTGGAATATTGATGTTCAAAAGGTAGATTTCTAAAATTGTAGAATTTCAGGCCAAAAATAATTGAAACCTACAATTTACCTTAAAGCTCTATTATACTTGCCGACTCCTTATTTTGGAGGGATACTCACCATTTTGGACACTTAATTGAGCATTCTCAACTGGTGAATAAAGTAAAGTATTAGAATTTCTAAGATCTGATTATTTCAACCGAAGATGCTGTTTAAAAGTGATTTTTGTTTTCCTAGGGTGTACGTATATATCACATACACACATTTTATTTATGTTTTTAATTTTGAGTATGCATAATCTTCTCCATGGAAATTTCAAAAAGTCAGCAAGTATGCTGCTTGTGAGATTTTAGTGACTGTCAAGTTTATCCCTGTTCAGTTGACATTTATAGTGAGCAAATTAAAAAAAAAGCAATTGATTTTATGCAGGTACATGTACATCTTTACATTAATTGCTTTCATTTTTTTCATTTTAAGACTAGATTAAATATCAAGTATATGATGTTTGTTTTTATGTTTGTATTCAGAAACTGTAAAGGATCTGATTCGATTCCTGAAGCGTGAAGATGAAACTTGCGATATTAGACGCCAGCTTGGTCATGCCCAAATTGTACAGAATGACCTACTTCCACTAGTTAAGCAGCACCACAATGAACGGCAGCTCTTTGAGACTCTGATCAGGTTATAATAATTAATTTGAAACAGTACTGTGTACTAGTCTGTATGATGCTACAAATGCACTTAATTTTCTCCAGGGTTCATCTGTAACCCCCTGGTCACCATCTGTGTAAAATGAGGAGAAATAATCATTTGGCACTAAAATTTTAACTCGTTTTAATTGCTTGGTGCAAAAAGGACTTGTTGTTATTAGTACTAAGCATTGTGTCAATTTGATACATAGCAGTATTTTAATTTACATCTATGGTATTGAGGAAAATATGAAAATTGAAGTAAAATGAGAATGCAACTATATTTAAATGTATATATATATGCCTTTAATCAGAAACATCCTCCATTCTGCCTGAAAAAGCCCTTAGAGGCAGAAAGGCCTAGCGGACCACTTGAAAGATTTATGTTTTTATTCTATATTTTCCTTCGCAAGGATTCATTTATTATCTACTATATACAATGTATATATAATAATGAATATATATGATGAAGGAAGTTTGACAAGTTTTTCACTCCTTGTTGTGTTAGTAATACATTTTCATCATTAACGCAAATGTATCAAGTGTTTTATCCAAAGTAAAGGATCACCTAACTCTACCAATGCATCTCTTTATTTTCAGTATATAGCTAGAGATAACACTCAGTGATCAACCTACAATTTATTTTCATGGGTCCTTTCAACTGTATTGCTAAAAACAATAGGTACCACGATGTTGAAATTTAAGGATTTCAAGATATTCTAGGAGTCCCATCAAAATTGTATGAGCATAAGACTTGGGACTCATATGTTTGTTTATCACTGAATACCGACTAGTTCTAACTGTTAGTTAAATATTACAGGGTTTTGGTGAACTTGACACAGCCTGCCATTATCTGTTTCAAAAATGCTATTCCTGTCGATAAAACAATGTACAACTACTACCTCGAGGTGGAGGCAGAGCTGCAAGGATATAAAGAGGTATGTGTTACAGGGTATCGGTAGTGGTAGCGATTTATTGATTAGGCGAAATAAAAATATACTGTTCCTGTTCATGTGAAAAGTCTAATAATATTTATGATCTGCATTTCTGTGTTGTGATCAAAGGACAGGTTGGTATAATGTTTATACCTAATATTCTATACCTTTTTTATATGCATATCCAATTTTTTTCCAAAAGTTCTAGAGTTCGACATATAAATTTGAGTTAAAACCTATCAAAACTTTTTATAGTGCTTTGAGGATTATCTTCCTTATTTTGATCAGTTGTATACTGTGGATATATAATTGTATGTAAGCTTGCTCCATTTTAACTTGATGTAATAAGATGTAAATATTCAAATATGAACAAATGTTCAAAATACAAAAAGAACAGAATATTTTAGGATATAATCATATATCAAGGTAATCTAGCTAAAAAGTGCAAAATTATTTTTATGAAAACAACAAAAGAAAAATGTTGATGTATATGTAAAAAACAAACACAGAAGTTTTAAAGTGACAGTCTTTAGATTAGGAAGAGGTAGAATTGGTAGAAACTAACTTTTTTAGGTAATTCCAACAAAGGTCAAGGTCAAACACAAATATGAACCAGTGAATTTGCGTCTACACCTATGTGTTGAAGTCAGATTATTATGTACTGTTCACAGAACGCTTGTGTTTTAGGTGTTTGTGGATGAAGACTTTTTCAGCACCTTAACAGAACGGCTTGGGGAACTGTTGAAGCTGGTAAGATGTTCTTGAGATATAATACACTACAAACTTTCCATTTAGATTTTCATCTTCTATTTGGAAGTATTTTCTATAATCTATAGATTTGCTATTGACTTTTGAAATGTGCCAAAATGTCTATTATCAAATCCTGATAACAATTAAGTTAATCCTTGAATTTTATTGTGATTCACATTTGTTTAAGGCCTTTTTGGTTGTACCATTTTATTCCAAGCTAAAATGAAATGGATTACTGAGACAATTTTACATACAAAATCAAGTTTTCCTTCCAATAGCTTGTTGTATACTGGAATAACCTTTTCATTTCAACAAATTTTATTATTTAGAAAACAAATGTATTGGACAACAGGCAAGCCTATTTATAAGTCCTCTCCAGTCAATAGGTACCACATATATACAAGCCAAAGTGAATAAAGTAAATGATGGAACAACCTTATAATTGGGGTCTGTATAGTGGGACAACTGGATAATATCAAAACTTTGTGACAAGGAAGTGAGACAATAAGATAACAAGTGGCTGGATTGATTACCAAAAAAGTATTCTTGATCATATGTTTGGAAATCATATATATATACGTGTACATATTGCTGTAAAGTGATGTAAGGCCTTTCACCACTAAAGACCATAATGGACTCATCCCCATAACTGCATCGTAGAGTCTACTAAAGTTACCTGGGATAGAAAGGGTTAATCAAATGGTTTTAATTATAAATGCAAGTAGAGACTGTTTCATACCTGATGAATGAACTAATTCATATTTTTCGATTTTTTAAAGTTGATCACCAAAAAATGAAAGACTGCAAAAGTTTATAAATGAGTTTTAAGTGTTTTGTAAGCTAAATGTGCGTTTTGTGTTACAGGACTGGGAACACCGACAGGAGGAAGACCGTCTCCTAATAGAGAGAATTCTCATCCTCATCAGAAACATCCTCCATGTACCACCCAATCAAGACCAAGAACAGGTCAGCCAATCAGCATCAAGCTTACAAAGCTTATCCTTACTTTCGGTGGGATGTGACACATTAAATGGGCTTAAACGTTTTGAACTTGTTAAAAACAATATTCTGAACAAATTCCATTAATTTTGTGGAGGCAATCCTGGCATTGGATATTGTCTTTTAGGACCATAATAAATCATTATACGCTTTATTTACTAGTATTGTCTATTTATCAATGTCAATAATTGTGGAAAAGGTTTCCTTTCCTGATTTCAGAAATTCTAAAAAAATAATCTGCATATCTGGGTTTAACATGTGAAGCTCCATTCAGCTTGTAAGTTTTTCTATCATAGAACTGTCAGTGTCATATACAATTTATCATCTGTATGTGTCTATGGTTGACAGAGGACAGATGACGATGCTACAATCCACGATCAAGTAATCTGGTAAGTCTTTACTCAAGGTCATTTTAAAATTCTCAGTTAATTTTTAGTAGTTTCCAAATTCATTTGCAAAGCACCTGTATCTAGTAAGGCCTTAATTAAGTTTCTTCATGGTCCCTAAATGATACTTGCCAGTCAAAATGTTGTCCTTCACTGGAACAATAATCATCCTTCATATTGTACATGTATATATTTCTATATATATATAGAATCTGATGAACCTCTAAAGAGGTGAAAGTATTTGGGAAGTACTAAGAAACTCTTTTTGTCAGTTCTTTTTTATGTTGCATATATACTAATGTTCACTGATAAAATAGCCCTCATTAGGAAGTGCCAAAAAGGTGATATGTAAATCTGATGCTACAATGTCCCTACATGTATATACAGTTTATGACCCTGTATACAACCTATGTACAAATATTTAGAAAGGGCATATTGAAATAATGATTTGCTTACCTATCATAGCCTAAAACACACTTTCTGTGCTAATATCTTGAATGAAATACAAATATGTTGATTGCTCTTGTATTCATTTTGGAACCTTCTTTATATATAACTCCTGCCAATTTATAATTGAGATAGAAAAATAGTTATTTCATCACTGTTGTGTCTTCATCACTTCACAAATTTTACTTCATACAATAAATACTATTATAAAGAAGGACATGAATATTCAACTAAATTTATCAAGTATGATAAGACTTCGTCAATTCAAGGTCACAGTCATTGATACTCTCTGTATGTAAAAAATTGTCCAAACATTTAAAATAATATTACATGGTGGTAGGGCCTCCATATCTGTTAGACATTTCCTAGTTTTTTGAATATTTTTTTGAAATTTGAATTGTTGAACTGGATGTATTTCCAGCCAAGAGACTGAGTTACATGTATCTGTGTTGTGAAGGGCCATACACTGCAGTGGACTAGAGGACCTGCTGCTGTACATTGCCAGCTCGGAGGAGGAGCGTCAGTTCTCCATGCATGTCCTTGAGATTGTGTCTCTGATGTTTCGGGAGCAGGTCAGTAGCAAGTTTCAAGTTTCTGGATTCTATGGTCGACTTTTAAAAATTGACCATAAAAGTCTTTGGATACCTAACAAATTGCTGTTGTACCCTTGTGACATAAAATTAAACACATATTGTTTTTAGTTGATACTTTTTACCTCTGAATTTTGAATTTTAATTTGTTATTTCAGCATGTAAATGTTTGTAAAATTTGAGATGTTAAAATTCAGTTAACCAGCTGATAATATAAGCTTTGTAACAGTATATAAACCAGTACATGTATTTATAGTTACTTTTAGTATGTAATATTCTGGCTAATACAGTTTATGTCATCAATCATTTGAGGGACATTTAATGAGAAATACCATAAAGAAAACTGATTGATATATGCCACACCAGAAATCTATCTGTCAAAATGTCCAAGTCTGGTCCCAGGGCCAGAGGAAACTATACCTCCAATTGATGATATTATCTTACAGACCCCGGAGGTGCTTGCTTGTGCTGGAGTTCAGCGATCACAAAGTCAGAAGGAGAAAGATGAAAGGTATTGTGTTTCACATGGGAACATTACTGTATTTCATTGAAGAGCCCTGCACACTTCGACTTGTCTCTGTTCTAAAACATGTTAGAGATGATGTTTGACAGGGAGCCTTTCATTTGGTACTTAATCAAAACTTGGTCAAATCTATCAATCTGTCAACATCATAATATGTCAATGCATGATTACAAAACCTGAGCTGTATAAGACATATGGTTTTCTCTGTTTAGTTTAAACCATTACAGTAAGAAATAATGTGTACTGCTTAATTACCACACTAATTCCATACTTGTATAAGGTATCAATATCATTCACTTAAAATATGAGCTCAAACCACACTGGTCAAAATTCACAGCAATGTCAACAAGTGGTATTATAACAAGGCTGTACTCCACAAATAGTGGCAGTATGTTTTACTGTACAAATAGTGGCAGTATGTTTTACTGTACAAATAGTGGCAGTTTGTTTTACTGTACAAATATTGGCAGTATAAAACAGTTTTATTGTACAAACAGTCGCAGTATAGCTACTTTTTAATGGTGACATTATAAGTAGATGTACTCTACCAATGGTAGCAGTATAACTTTGTATTACTGCACTGTCATATTTCATACACTCTACCTCTGACACATGATACACAGGGATATATAGAGGGAGGTCGGTTTCACATACGCAAGATTTACACTGTATTTGTTATAATCTTAGGGAATTGGAGATGATGCGACAACAAGAAAAAGTTCAGAAAATCTCTGATCATAGGAAGTTCAGTACAAGGTAAATAGAAATGATTATCGTTTTATTGGTTTTTTTTCATTTCGATTACATTTATTTGTGTTGATTGTGTTTTAATGTAAAATTTGCATATTATCATGATTTTAAGGACAATTCTGTCTTGATCTAAATGTCAGATCACTTGTTATATGTAGAAATACAGAAATTTAGTTTATGATAATTGTTCATATTTGATAACCAATCCTGGGTTCATTTAATCAAATGAAGATATATCATGGTAAATCATCACAAGTTGCACATCCTCCAAATATATACCCCCAGGTGATAGTTTTCTAACATGTTACATATTCTGTTTCAGACACTCACGTTTCGGTGGGACATATGTTGTGAAGAACATGAAATCTATCAGTGAAAAAGATGTCATTTTCCATAAAGCACAACACGATGTTAATAAGCTGACTTTTGATGTGAACAAAAAACCCAAAAAGATTGCAAAAAACAGACAACCAATCAAAGACAAGGATTTGGTCCGAAGATCGACTCTGAGTATCCGTCTGGGTCTGAAGGAATTCTGTGTGCAGTTTCTGGAGAACTGTTACAATCCCCTCATGTATGCTGTCAAGGTTTGTACACAGAAGACGTCTTGTTCATGCAGGACTTCAAAGATAATACATTACTTTTATTTACAACATTACTTAGTAGAACTGTTATTTCAAACTGTAGATCATTAAAATATTTTCAGGAAAAAATCCTGAATGCATTCCAATTTCTGTCTGACAAATAACGTACAGTGAGGGACATCACACTTCAGTTATATTACAATACTGTCTTTACTTTACTTTAACGAAGATTTATAGGAATTTCAGTACACAAATTACATCAAGCAAGTTTTCCTTTCGAGTTCATGGCTCCAGGTCAATATTGTTATTACTAAAAATAGGAAAATTTGACATTGCACTAATTTGCTCCTATAGGCAGCTACCATTTTAAAGAGGGCATATGAAATTCATTTTAAAGAGGGCATATGAAATCCATTTTAAAGAGGGCATATGAAATCCATTTTAAAGAGGGCATATGAAATCAATGTTTGTCCAAACTCCTCATTCTTCTGGCTTCATTTTTCTTCAGATTTCAATGAAACCTTGAACACAAATACCTCAAACAAATTTGGGTTACAGGCTCCTGGACTTATTCATAAGGAGCACAGGTAGTGAGGGCATTCATATCTGACAGACGTTTGCTTAGTTTCAACTAAATTCTGGATCTGCCATTGGCATTCTTGCACAGGAATTTGTATACAGAAATAAGACTGACTATTCATCATTTATGTTGATATTAAAATGGCTACTGTTTGTGGTGTGGTGATAGGATATCCTGAACCATGAAAGGACACAGGAACACGATGAGACCTACTATCTCTGGGCCATGCGATTCTTCATGGAGTTATGTCGCCATCACAGTAAACGTGTCGAGCTGGTGTCAGAGACCATGTCAGTCCAGACGTTCCATTATATACAGGTACAGATGATACAGTACTACGAGATGCAGATGATGGAGAAAAAGGAAGCCATTGTTTGGGGCAAGCGGTGAGTAGAAGGATTCCCAAGGCTGTGTATGAGTAAAAGAGGTGTTGGAACTTAAGCCTTCTTTTGAAATTTTCGTTTATTCATTATGCTAATTAAATTTTTGTGAACTTCTATATCTTCATCAAAAGAGAGTTCCTAATGATTAAATCCTGTTAAGTTACTGTTGTTGACGGTACATTGGTCTATGCTAATAATTCTTAAAAATATTTATACAATATCCATCAATTTTTACATAAAGATAATTATTTATTATGTAAGTAACAAACAAAAGTAAATAAGGACAACAATTTAATGCATTTCTTTTTCAAATAATATTTTTTGACAGAATTTGCCATTTTCTGGAGGACTTCATTTTGATTTAATACCTTTAAATTAACAGCAAAAACAGCATTCAGACATACTTACTTCATGAGAAGTGTGAAGCAGTCAACTCAATATAAAGTTGTACATATATTCAATCACAGCACTTAACTTTTCTTCCGGAAACCAAATCGCCAGAAATGTTTGAAATTGTTTGTAGCAAAGACTCGTTTTGCTGACTTGCTTTTTAATAATGCTATCCAGACTTCATGTTTCATGCATTACTTGGCCGTGAGATTATTGGCTAATTTAAATAACCCACTAAATATTAATTCTGTAGATAATGATCATCAGTTATTGAAATAGCATCCTCTCAGTTAGAAGTTCAAGGTTTATGAATGAAAACTTCTGGCATAGTATGCAAAATGTAGTACACACAAAACAGTGTTTTACAGTAAAAATGAATTATTTTCTATTTATAGGGATTTTGCTTGACACCATTTTATCTTCCAGCGTACATTTGGCGCTGAAAGCCTACCAGGAACTCCTTCTGACTCTCGACTCAATGGACCGATCCAAAAACCCTCGACTGATGGAGAGCTCCAGAGTACTGAAGAGCAACATTTTCTATATGATGGAGTTTAGAGATATATTCCTCACCCTACTCAGGAAATTTAATCAGAGTCAACAATCTAGGTATGTACACATACACGCCACAAAATATGTAGAGAATGATACAAGGCTTCTGTCTGCTCAGCTGTCTGTCTGTCATTATGTCCGTTGTCAAGTTCATGCCACTTTCCACCTATAGCATTTCCAGCTTACAATGTAGAAGTTTAGTAAATTAAATATCACTCCACATTTCTTGGACAATTATATAAAATAAAAGCACAAATGATATGATCAGCTTGGAGTTAGGGGTTCGTTAGGAATAAATTATACCATTACCTGGGAGTAGGGGTTAATTAGGAATAAATTATACCATTACCTGGGAGCAGGGGTTCAATAGGAATAAATTATACCATTAACTTGGAGTAGGGGTTCAATAGGAATAAATATACCATTACCTGGGAGTAGGGGTTCATTAGGAATAAATTATACCATTACCTGGGTGTAGGGGTTCAATAGGAATAAATTATACCATTATCTGGGAGTAGGGGTTCAATAGGAATAAATTATCCCATTACCTTGGAGTATGGGTTCAATAGGAATAAATTATACCATTAACTGGGAGTAGGGGTTCAATAGGAATAAATTATTCCATTACCTGGGAGTAGGGGTTCAATAGGAATAAAATATCCCATTACCTGGGAGTAGGGGTTCAATAGGAATAAATTATCCCATTACCTTGGAGTATGGGTTCAATAGGAATAAATTATACCATTACCTGGCAGTAGGGGTTCAATAGGAATAAATTATACAATTACCTGGTAGTAGGGGTTCAATAGGAATAAATTATACCATTAACTTGGAGTAGGGGTTCAATAGGAATAAATATACCATTACCTGGGAGTAGGGGTTCATTAGGAATAAATTATACCATTACCTGGGTGTAGGGGTTCAATAGGAATAAATTATACCATTATCTGGGAGTAGGGGTTCAATAGGAATAAATTATTCCATTACCTGGGAGTAGGGGTTCAATAGGAATAAATTATTCCATTACCTGGGAGTAGGGGTTCAATAGGAATAAAGTATACAATTACCTGGGAGTAGGGGTTCAATAGGAATAAATTATCCCATTACCTTGGAGTATGGGTTCAATAGGAATAAATTATACCATTATCTGGGAGTAGGGGTTCAATAGGAATAAATTATCCCATTACCTTGGAGTATGGGTTCAATAGGAATAAATTATACCATTAACTTGGAGTAGGGGTTCAATAGGAATAAATATACCATTACCTGGGAGTAGGGGTTCATTAGGAATAAATTATACAATTACCTGGGAGTAGGGGTTCAATAGGAATAAAATATCCCATTACCTGGGAGTAGGGGTTCAATAGGAATAAAGTATACAATTACCTGGGAGTAGGGGTTCAATAGGAATAAAATATCCCATTACCTGGGAGTAGGGGTTCAATAGGAATAAAATATCCCATTACCTGGGAGTAGGGGTTCAATAGGAATAAATTATCCCATTACCTTGGAGTATGGGTTCAATAGGAATAAATTATACCATTAACTTGGAGTAGGGGTTCAATAGGAATAAATTATACCATTATCTGGGAGTAGGGGTTCAATAGGAATAAATTATACCATTATCTGGGAGTAGGGGTTCAATAGGAATAAATTATACAATTACCTGGGAGTAGGGGTTCAATAGGAATAAAATATCCCATTACCTGGGAGTAGGGGTTCAATAGGAATAAATTATACCATTACCTTGGAGTAGGGGGTAAAGATACAGAGAAGGTATATGTGATAGACATAGAACATCAGTGTTGTTACAGGTATGTGATTCTGTTACAGGACTTATCTTAAAGACCTGGTAGAAACAACACACTTGTTTCTGAGGATGCTTGAGAATGAAACACGAAAAAATTCTCACCTTGTAGTCCAGTCGAAAAAGAAAAAGAGCAAGAAACCACGAAAGAAGGATGTGGCCAAAGGTAAATTATACTGTTTATGTTGCTATTTTATAAAGGGAAACTGTCCATTTTCAGTAAATTAAGAGATTTATTCAAATGTTTAGGTAGCATCAGCTCAATTTGAGAAGCCTCTTTGGATGCATAATGAATAAAAATGAAAAAAATACCATTTATAATTTTAATTGTTGGCATTGCACTGCATATTAGATTATATCTGTGTGCAATCTCTGGAATGTTTTTACTGCTGCTGTCAAATTTTGGACATAATTTCGCTACAGTGCCTGAACAACAAACTACACTGGGTGGTATGTTACAAGCTATTTTCTGTACACAGATTGACAGCAAACAAAATGTTACTTCTAAATTTCATTTTCTGTGTAATTCATTCTCACTAGTCAAGAGACCCACGTGTAACATAACAGAATTACAAACTGAAATGAGACTTACTCATGAGCTTTAAATTAACTGCAGCAGAAATTAAATCAGTATTAAAGCTGTTTTTGATATTTTATTCAGATTTTTTTCTCCATATGTTAATGAAATTAGTTACTAAACAAAGTAAATATCAATACATGTACTTTAAAAACTTGTAACTAACATGTCCGTTTAACTGTCAACAGAAAACAAAGAGCCACAGGAACACACACCCCAACAGTTGGAGGACATGTGGGATAACCTGTCATCGGAGTTATCCACCCTGTTCCAGGGACGAGGGGAGATACCAACAGATGTCTCTCCATTTGATGCAGCCTCGGAAATTGAGGAGGAGCAACAGAGGTATTCATGCAAGAGGAGAAATTTTAGCATACTAGTAGTAGCATAACAAACAGTTAATTATGACCAGATAAGGTCAAAGAATTTCATGTTTTGATACAGTAGCCATGCTGACTTTCTGTAGTTTTATTATGAAAACATTGAGATTAGAATATATATAATTTAAAATCTTTCTGATTTATGCACATAAGTGATCAGGACAAATAGGTTTTTAAGCCAGACTGCCATGGTTACACTTCATATTTGAATTCTGTATTGGTGATTCCTACTTTGAAGCAAGAAGAGAATGGAGAGCTAACCATGTTTTAAGCTCATTGATATCAAACAACAGGACAAAGACAATTTGTCATTAACTTTCATATCTTATGTGTTTTCCAATGTGAGGCAAGCTGAAAGTGATGATTTACTTTGAAATTTGTATAATTAATATAACACTATAGTTTTAGTCAATAAGAAGTGAATTTCTTTAAGTTATTGCCATGGTAATGTATGTATAAAGCTTGAATAAAATATTAATACATTTCTACACTGGATTTCAACAGATAAATAAATACCTAAGACTTTCTTGTTCACCCGTGCCTGTTGTAGGGTTAATGCGATGATCAGCATACAAGATGCATTGCGACATTCCCAGCCAGGAAATGGCATTGCACTCCTGAGAGCTGCCAGGTAGGGCTTAAGAGGCACCGATCCTGGTTGGGCCTTTTTACCTAGTTATATAAGTGTGTAAATGGACAGGGTGGCATTGTGTCCGAAAGTTATGATGTCAAAATGATTAACTCTTACAGTTGGAATCACACACTTTTAGAGGGGGCAACAGAAACCGTAATTTAATTTTAGATAGAGATTATCTTTAGTTTTATAATTTATAACATGACTTATTGTATTTAATGACATGCTGAAGCTTTGAGCTAAGTCAAGAGCTTTAAATTCACTTCTTCTAGTGTTCATTGTCTACACCCCTTGGTATCTTGACACAATTTTATCTTAAAAATAAGTGAACTATGAATATTGTATGTTTTGAAAGATATTTTCTCTGAAGTCCCAAATTCAAACACATTGTAAAAATCTTCTCAAACTTATGTAATATATACCTGTTAATGATGATTTCATGAAGTAAGATATCCACAAATATATTTTTTTGAAGATAATAAGAATTGAATTTCTGAATAAATATAATGATCATTACTGACCACAGAGTGTTCATTTCAGGGAGATCTGGCCGGAGAAGAATGAGTTTGGGAGTGTGGATATCAGTCCCGAGGAGGAGTTTATGGCCTTGAGGGAAATTTTCATGGCCCCACTACCACGTAAGGTCACCTATATAAAGGTCACTGTAGGGTTATTACAGTCTGTATTCCTAGGCTGTCATTATTATATCACATATACTACAACTCGTATAGGTTCCATACCTAAAGTAGCTTACAGCCATAGCTATATCAAAACTGTTACCTATGGCTTCACTTCTTTTGTTAATGTATAAATAATCATTAAATCTAGAAATGTTGTCACTGTCAGCTGTATTTGGCTAAACTTTGTAATAGAATGATATAGAAGAGGAATTTTGTTTAAACATAACGATAATGGATGCATTAATCATTTTGAAATATTGGCTTGCATTATTGAGTCGTAAATGTTTATCAATAAACTGTTTATAAGAGATGGGTTGTTAGGAAAGTGCTACAGAGTTGTAATCACGGATGGTGTGACTTGTAGGAATGCAGGAGAGCCAGCCGGAGGAGGCGACACTGGAGGGGTATGAGGAGGGAGCAGAGGGTAAGAATCTTTTACTGTACAGCCAGGAGGCGTGTGAATACTGAGCGAGTTCTCTTCATTTGAGTATGTACCTGCCCTGGAAGGTTGGTGTTAAACTTTAAACTTATATTTTGAATTTGTGAAAATACTGAAACTGGTCAAGATATTGTCAATTTTACATATTTTGTTTAGGTAAGTGCTGTAGGATGACTGCACTAGCCTGTGCTTGGATTTGGATTTTTTGTCTGTTTACTCTTTATGTTTTGTTAAGATGTCAACTTTGTTTGATTTCAGTCGAGGAAGAGGAAATGACAGCTATTTCTGTGTCTGAGCAGGAGTTCAGCTTCAAAGAATTTGTGAACAAGTATGTTCCCCTTGTTTTACAGTCATACAACATATCAAGAAATGGATTAAAGATCGTTCATATCATCTAACTAGCAAATAATGAACTTGCTGAAATCAGATTAATTTTTTAGCTTAAACATCATTAAATGCCTTATGTTTCCAGAATAAGAAATAACTTGCCTCATGGTTTTGTGTTATGAGACTGTATGGCGTTACATACTTTCTGGTGTTGTGAGTGTACACATCATTAGTTACATACTTTCGGTTGTTGTGAGTGTACACGGCAATAGTTACATACTTTCTGCTGTTGTGAGTGTACACGGCAATAGTTACATACTTTCTGTTGTTGTGAGTGAACATGGCATTAGTTACATAGTTTCTGGTGTTGTGAGTGAACATGGCATTAGTTACATTCTATCTGGTGTTGTGAGTGTCCACATCATTAGTAACATACTTTCTGGTGTTATGAGTGGACGTGGCATTATAGTTACATACTTTCTGATGTTGTGAGTGTACACAGTATTATAGTAACATACGTTCTGGTGTTGGGAGTGTACACATCATTAGTTACCTACTTTCTGTTGTTGTGAGTGTACACAGTATTATAGTAACATACGTTCTGGTGTTGGGAGTGTACACATCATCAGTAACATACTTTCTGGTGTTGTGAGAGTACATGGCAGTAGTTACATACTCTCTGGTGTTGTGAGAGTACATGGCATTAGTTAGATACTTTCTGGTGTTGGGAGGGTACAGGGCATTAGATACATACTTTCTGGTGTTGTTTATATCTCAGTATCTTGAGTGTACATGGCATTAGTTGCATACTTTCTGGTGTTGTGAGAGTACATGGCAGTAGTTACATACTCTCTGGTGTTGTGAGAGTACATGGCATTAGTTAGATACTTTCTGGTGTTGGGAGTGTACAGGGCATTAGTTACATACTTTCTGTTGTTGTGAGTGTACACAGCATTATAGTAACATACGTTCTGGTGTTGTGAGTGTACACGGCATTAGTTACATACTTTCTGGTGTTATGAGTGTACATGGCATTATAGTTACATACTTTCTGTTGTTGTGAGTACATGGCATTAGTTACATACTTTCTGGTGTTGTGAGTGTACACATCATTAGTTACATACTTTCTGTTGTTGTGAGTGTANGCACGGCATAAGTTACATACCTTATGGTGTTGTGAGTGTACACATTATTAGTTACATACTTTCTGGTGTTGTGAGTGTACTTGGCATTAGTTACATACTTTCTGGTGTTGTGAGTGTACACGAGTGTACATGGCATTAGTTACATACTTTCTGGTGTTGGGAGTGTACAGGGCATTAGATACATACTTTCTGGTGTTGTGAGTGTACACATTATTAGTTACATACTTTCTGGTGTTGTGAGTGTACATGGCATTAGTTACATACTTTCTGTTGTGAGTGTACATGGCATTAGTAACATACTTTCTGGTGTTATGAGTGTACACAGCATTAGTTACATACTTTTTGTTGTGAGTGTACATGGCATCAGTAACATACTTTCTGGTGTTATGGGTGTACACAGCATTAGTTACATTCTTTCTGGTGTTGTTAGTGTTCAAGGCATTAGTTACATACTTTCTGGTGTGAGTGTACATGGCATTAGTAACATCCTTTCTGGTGTTATGAGTGTACACAGCATTAGTTACATACTTTCTGGTGTTGTGAGTGTACTCGGCATTAGTTACATACTTACTGGTGTTGTGAGTGTACAGGGCATTAGTTACATACTTACTGGTGTTGTGAGTGTACACAGCATTAGTTACATACTTTCTGTTGTTGTGAGTGTACACAGCATTAGTTACATACTTTCTGTTGTTGTGAGTGTACATGGCATTAGTTACATACTTTCTGGTGTTGTGAGGGTACACATCATTAGTTACATACTTTCTGGAGTTGTGAGTGTACACGGCATTAGTTACATACTTACTGGTGTTGTGAGTGTACAGGGCATTAGTTACATACTACTGGTGTTGTGAGTGTACACAGCATTAGTTCCATACTTTCTGGTGTTGTGAGTGTACACAGTATTAGTTACATACTTTCTGGTGTTGTGAGTCTACACATCATTAGTTACACACTTTCTGGTGTTGTGAGTGTACACGGCATTAGTTACATACTTTCTTGTGTTGTGAGTGTACACAGCATTAGTTACATACTTTCTAGTGTTGTGAGTGTACACAGCATTAGTTACATACTTTCTAGTGTTGTGAGTGTACACAGCATTAGTTACATACTTTCTGTTGTTGTGAGTGTACACAGCATTAGTTACATACTTTCTGTTGTTGTGAGTGTACACAGCATTAGTTACATACTTTCTGTTGTTGTGAGTGTACACAGCATTAGTTACATACTTTCTAGTGTTGTGAGTGTACACAGCATTAGTTACATACTTTCTAGTGTTGTGAGTGTACACAGCATTAGTTACATACTTTCTGGTGTTGTGAGTGTACACGGCAATAGTTACATACTTTCTGGTGCTGTGAGTGTACACGGCATTAGTTACATACTTTCTGGTGTTGTGAGTGTACACAGCATTAGTTACATACTTTCTGGTGTTGTGAGTGTACACAGTATTAGTTACACACTTTCTGGTGTTGTGAGTGTACACGGCATTAGTTACATACTTTCTGGCGCTGTGAGTGTACACAGCATTAGTTACATACTTTCTGGTGTTGTGAGTGTACACATCATTAGTTACATACTTTCTGGTGTTGTGAGTGTACACTGCATTATAGTAACATACTTTCTGGTGTTGTGAGTGTACACAGCATTATAGTTACATACTTTCTGGTGTTGTTTATATCTCAGTATCTCTTGATCTATCAACTACATGTTTTGTCCAACTTCATAATAACTAATTCTTGCAATGAAAATGTGAATTATCAATTGTATATAAACAACACAAACCCTACAATACTTTGTTTTAATTACAGTTTATAAGTTAACACAGACAGTTTATAGACAGAAAGGTAAAATGTCAAATAAGGAGATAAAATTTATCAAACAAGGTGTACATCAGCTTGTATATGGTGTAATATTCTGATATCTGGCTCACAATGTTTAAAAATTGAGAAACCAAGTGAAGTTTAATATACACTGCAGTAAGGAATTTAATGGTTTTTTTGTACAGGTTCAGTACAGGTATTGTTCTGAAGTGCTACGTTCTACTGCTGGCTGACTTTGACAAGAACACCACCTACACTAACCACTGTGTGGTGAAGTTGTTACATCGGGTCACTGTTGACCTCGGACACAAGGGCCTCGTGTTCCAGGCGTCCTTGTTCAGACAGTTCCAGCGCATACTACTTAGCCCACTGGCCAAGCTTGAACGCTACAAGGTATGCGTGGCGTTCACCGGAGAATACCCTGTTGTTGATTCCATATTTGAATACACAAGTTTTATTTGTGAGATACGTTTGTAGGTTGCTGCAAAGTTCATACTGGAGAAGCTTTCATTTCACTGTCAAAATTAGTGATGATTTTGTAACATCTACATCGGTAGATAACTCTTAAATGTATTATGCTGCTAGTCTACCATTGTAAACTTCCTTAATTTGCTTCCGGTTTACTATTTAGCTGTCAGACCTAACTGTAATCCAGGGTTGTGATGGGTTTTCTTTGTAGGAGATTGTAAAGTTTGCCACTTTTACTGTGCGTAACTTCGTGGAGACGGCAGAAACAAACCCCAAAGCTTTCATGGAGTTACTATTCTGGAAGTCGAGCAAGGAAGCTAGCGAACTGGTGGAGGGATATGGAACATATCAAAGGTAAGCGAGGTCCTCTTACAGTCAAAACTTCCGATTACCTTGAAAACTCTAAATTCACTGTGTATTTCTATACAGACCAGACATTCAGCTATAGGTTTGCTAAATTTTATTAAAAAATCACACGGTATCACAATTATATACCCATATTTTTTACATCAATTACTAAAGTAATTTTAACTTGGTTTTGTTTGCTCTTAATCAATCCAGAGTTTTCATTAACTAATCACTTATAAATAGTAACTTGGTACTACATGACAAATCAAATGAACTTCCCTAATAGAGGAAATCAAATGATAAACATTTCAAACCACCACATTCCATAGTTCCAGAATTTAATCAAAGTGACAAAAGGTTTTAGTTAACTGGTATATTAACAGTGTTGTTTAACAAGCACATTTACTGTTTTAATTGAATATACTGGAAGTTGATTAACAGTATTTTCGGGAGAAAAGAAATAGTGTTATTATTACACCTCCACCCTGCAAAAGAAAGTTGGAAAATACTTTAAAAATCAAAAATCAAGAGAGAGATAAAAGACTTAAATTCAGGATTAATGAAGTATTAGTGTTGTGTATTGCATTGCAAATGAAACCTGACATGTTTCCAGTAAGGGGAAGGTATTGTGGACAGAGGACCTGGAGATGGAGGTACGACACCTGTTTGAGGAGTACAGGGACCAGGAGGACACTAGTAAGTGTTACAAAAACGACTCTTACGGCTGCTGAGATAACGTGTAACAGATGGTGTAATTGATATCCAAAAGGTCTATAATTGGTTGACTGATAAATCATGAATGAATAATTGAATTCATTCTATGTAAAAACAAACTAAGAGTTATTACTACTGTTGTATTTTTTCCAATAAAGTAAATATCCACCCGTTCTTCGTGTTTAACAGGCTTTTCATGTGTTTATCATCCTGTCCTGGTGTATTTAAGTTGTTTACTATTTACTATATTTTACCTTTTGACTGGTCTACTGCTGATTATGTGATTGACCCTCTCACTCAGTGGACCTTTGGAATCTATTACAGGCAAGGACGTGGTGGACTGTATCATGGAGAGAATCACAGACCCGAAAAAGACACGAGGTCAGGTCCTAAGGGAGCTGAAGAAACAGGGCCTGATAGATAGTGCCAAAGACATCAAAAGGGGCAAGAAAGGGTAGGTCTGTCAAAGGGAAAAGTGCAGAAGAATTAAACGATGACCTAGCACCTGTCTTCTTATATTAAGACCTAAGCAAATATGTTAAACACAAAACAAACAAAAAGCAAGAAAAGAAAAAAAATCTAAATGCTTAATTAGCTTAAGTCTCCAAACCTCCACAGGCCACCGCCCTCAACAAACAACCTCGATCTGATTTATCTCCCCAGACCACCGCCCTCAACAAACAACCTTGCTCTGATTTATCTCCCCAGACCACCGCCCTCAACAAACAACCTCACTCTGATATATCTCCCCAGACTACTGCCCTCAACAAACAACCTCACTCTGATATATCTCCCCAGACCACCGCCCTCAACAAACAACCTCACTCTGATATATCTCCCCAGACCACCGCCCTCAACAAACAACCTCACTCTGATATATCTCCCCAGACCACCGCCCTCAACAAACAACCTCACTCTGATATATCTCCCCAGACCACCGCCCTCAACAAACAACCTCACTCTGATATATCTCCCCAGACCACCGCCCTCAACAAACAACCTCACTCTGATATATCTCCCCAGACCACCGCCCTCAACAAACAACCTCACTCTGATATATCTCCCCAGACCACCGCCCTCAACAAACAACCTCACTCTGATATATCTCCCCAGACCACCGCCCTCAACAAACACCCTCACTCTGATTTATCTCCACAGACCACTGCCCTCAACAAACAACCTCACTCTGATATATCTCCCCAGACCACCATCCTCAATAAACACCCTCACCCTGATATTTACAACAGCCTCAGCCCCAAATCCATCATTTCAACCTGCCCTCATCAAACAGCTGTACACAATTCTATCGTGTACCTGCCAGTGACCATGTGTAAACTAATAATTGAAATAATTGACTCATAATTAAAAGTAATAAATATTTTTGGAGGTATTGTAAAACTCAAAATTGACTTTGTTTGTCCTGTCCAATTTCTCACAATGACTTCCATTTAGAGGCAATCAAAGTTAACAGCACCATTAAATATGATACAATATTTGTCTTGTGGAATAAGTTTAATGTCGTGGCATTTGTGTTCTGTAGAGGAGGCCGCCCAGGGCCTTGGTTGGAGGAAGAGGAGTTTGACTTGGCAAACCTCTATGACAGGTTTCATTCCACAAACGGTTAGTCAGAAAAATAAGTAAACATATTTTCATGTTTTTATCAATGAAATGTATGGTTTTACAGTAAATATAAAATTGATATATTTTGTACTGTGAATAACACCCTGATGTTCTTATTGGGACAAAAATGGTAAATGTAAGTATTTAACTGTTTTCAGTTGACATTCATAGGCAATATGAAATTATACTGGAATCTGTGGTTTTACTTATCACCTAGAATTCCAATTTGATAATTGATGAGTATTCTGATAAAGGTGACTCTGTAACAGAGCTTCTTTTGTGTGATCTTATAATTTCTCTTCGTTTAGACCCCCTCGGCAGCATTTTGTCTCACATGGAGGTCAAACGTAGCAAGTCTAAGGTTATTGAGAAACTATTTAGTTTGGGGCTGGTGAAGGATCGCAAGGAGCTGTACAAGCGACGACAGCGAAAGAGGCGTGGGTCCGGCTCGGGCTCGGGCAGTGACAATGAAATGGACAGGATGCAGCAGAGAGAAGGTAGGTACTAATTGTTATCAGGACCATCTAACAATATATCCTAGCATCACTTTCTGTGTTTTTTTCCACTTAACTATTTGTCCTAAATGCTCATTCTGAACTTCCTGACCAGTTTCAATAAAATTTTGTACACTTATCAGATAAGTATATCATCCACTTCTATTTGACTTTCGTTTTATATAATAAAAAATAAGTGTATGTCTGCACAACTAAACCACCAGTAATATCAAAAAGTACTTGAATTGTAGAACCCATGAATCTATTTGTTCTTTCTGGGCTGTTTTGGTGAAAGGGTAACTTTGCACCACATGACTTAGTTTCCTTGACTCGGTCAAACTCAATCATCATTCAGGGCTACCTTGCAAAGAAGACTTGGTTCTTTTCACTGCACTTGGTTTGAATTACTTTCAAGGTCAAATCAAGGTCACTGTTACTATGAATAGAAAAACAGTTTCCGCACAACATCATTTATTTTATTTATTCAATCTATTAAACTGCTAACTCGAGTACAAAGCAGGTCAATGTTACTGTTATTAGAAAACTTCAGACAGTGTATCCCAATCTAAGATATGTTATATCTGAACTTAAAACAAACAGTATTAGTATTTCTTAGTGATACATTGCTTTTGCAGATACATATAAAGAATATCAAAATTGTGATGTTTTGTTTTTAAGAAATCGGTTTAATTCAAAAGATTAAGAAAGGAAATTCAGCCAGATCTATAGCCGAACTAATATTTAAGGTCTTTCAGTTTATCCATATGCCTTATCAGTGATTCCTTCCTGCAGACTTTCAGGAGCTGCCTTCAGACTTTGAAGAGGAAGTGTTGTCTTCTGGAGATGAGGGCGGGGATGTGTCTGGTGACGACAATAACAACCAAGAGATAGGTCAAGGTCATACAGAGAATTCTGGAGCACAAGACGATATGGCAGCCATCATCACAAATTTGGTGGGAAAAGGTAATTGTCCCTCCATCGCTAGAGATTATTTAGATATCTAACTGGACTGCAGTCTGCATTTTGAAATTAGCATTAGTGGGTGTTGAATTTCTGATCACTAGAGAATCGAAGGTTAGGCCCGTTGTAAAAATGTTTTGCTGCATATGAAAACATCAAGTTGCTACTTAGCGAAGTACATGTAGTTTTTACAGCCACCATTTTGGTTTTTTAAACTTGATTCATAATATGAAACAGAACAATGACCAAAGTCCAGGTTAAAATACTTAATAGGAGTTTTGTTTTAAATAGAAATGGAAAATTTCAGTAAAAAAAACCCTCAGATTACCTAAATATCTTTACAGATATTATAAGCAACAGTAAATGGATACCTTTCCAGATAAATGAAACGTTTTAAATTGAAACTTGAAAGTCATAATTTATTATATTTTTGTGAAATATTTATTGAGGTCAATGAGAATTTGTTGAAATCTTGGTAATTTCAAATTTTCATCAACCTTTTTTCTAAGGAATTGAGTTTACTTTCACACATTGGGCAGCTGTGTATTGGTAGTTGGCTAAACTTCTTGCTATCTGTTAGTGATACACATGATTATGAATTTCTTTGTGCTGTACAAGGATATTTCTGTAAATGATTTACAGGTTACAGCGACCAGATTAAGTGGATACAGCGAGGTTTGAGCCGTACAGCTGGGAATAAGGAGGAGTTAGGTGAGAAACATCAGCCTGTCATCACAGTGACATTCAGTATTCTCAAAGTGTTGTAGATTCCATAAATCTTTAACTTATGTTATGTTAGAGGTATTTATAGGGATAAAATCATACTGTTGTGCCAATGTCCTTCTGTAGTAAACCAGTAGATTCTTAAAACAATAGTTTTGAAATCTTCCACTTTTCCTTTCCTTATTCCTTTTTAGAAATATTTTTGTAAAAAAATCTGTTTTCCAAAATGTTAGATAAAATTCACCTGCTGTTTACAAGAAACTACATGGAAAAGAAAAGCTCTTTTGCCACAATTTTTCTTATACTGCAGGAAGATATATTCTGATAATGCTTTACCCGAGAAGGCATACATGTATCTGCATGTAACCATGACCCAAATGCATCAAGACCAAGATATTAAGGACTATAAATTGAGCTATATTTGGCCAATATTAATTGTACTTTGTGGGAGTGATACTGATACACAAGGAGTATATTGTTGATACCAAATGATAGTTTTAAACGTTTTGACATTGAAGATGGCTGCCATGGTCTCCGAGACATTGAAGGTTATAACTTGAATTCTGTTGGGAAGACTTTGTTCATACTTTCAGGGATAGATTTTTTGTAGGGGTTAAACTTTCCATCATCATAAGATGTCAGTATTCAAGATGACTGCTGTAGCCTCAGATTGGCCAAAACAAGGCTGATTCTGTTGTCAGTGAAATTACAGCTGCCACAAGTCTGCTTCTTTAGTAATGGCAAGAGTGCAGAGATTATACAGCAATCTTTGTTACAGGAACCACTAGCTTTGATATAATTTTGAACCAAACTTTTAAAATATTTCTTTTATACAGTCGAACCTCGTTATCTCGAAGTCGATGGGGTCGTGAAAAAACTTTGAGTTATCCGAGTATTCGAGTTATGCGGGTTCATAGATTTGGTATGAAATTTGAAATATTTGAAATAGCACTAGCAGTTGTTGGTTTTATTAATAGTTAATGCTTTTAATCAATCGATAAATGATATACGTAATCAATATAACAAATAAAGCTATGTAATTTTACAATAAACACACTTTTAATACAAAAATAGAGTAAGTTATTTCAGAAAAACGTACTTTCGTTTTTAAACGCGATCAAAACGGTTGGACCATAATTTTGTGAATTCGTTATTAAATATGGACTGGCCTAGTGATTAAATGTTGTTTTCGGCTAGTATAGATCTTGGCAAAGTCTTTCCAGGTCTGCATTTGTATTTGTAAGTCCATCAAGTTTTACTTCTGAAGTGTTACATTTCAAACTGAACTGTCCCGCTGTCTCTGATCTCGTAGTTTACAATGCGGAAATGAAAGTGCCCAAGTCTAAAACAAATCACTGTAATGGAGCGTACGCATAGTTGATTCTGTAAATGAAAACACACAAACAAATTATATTGTACATGTGACACATTGATTCATTAAAGCCAAATATGACACCCGACACCTCCTCAACTCGATGTAATCAACAGCAATTATCGTTTTGTTCTTAAATCTCTCGATCGACTTTCAAAGCCATACTGGCTCCTGTAAAAACATGAACCCGTAAAGCTGTCCTAGGTTGTGATTTTAACTGTGGAACTCTTTTATGCATGACCACGCTTTGTGACCAATTTTCCGGTTTGCACTGTCGTCTGTTTAGGTGTACAAATCATTAAACGGACTCGCAGTAAGTACAGATTACTGTTGATCAACATTGATGCAGTTTGTTTTTTATTATGAATAACATGGTTTTGACAGTCCGTAAACTTTACAGTCCTAAGCTTTATCGTAAATTCTTTTTTACTGATTTCATGCTAGTCTACTTACGAAAGATGTTCATAAACACGGAATGGCGAAATGTCGTACTTTTGCNCCCCTCACCATTTGTATAGGGAAGGGACAGGGGACGATTAATATTACTCATGTCCTCCCAAATACTCATACACTTAGTTTAAGACCCTTTTTAGAAGTTAGACAAAAGTTGCCCCAACTCTAGGAGTCACACCCACACCTTCCATCACACAAAGGTACATGTTAGAATGAGGGCTGACCAGGGCTGAAGGTTATACTCTGCAATGTGATCCAATACCTCTTTTGTGATCGGGCATGTTTTTATTTAGTAGTTATGAGAATTGAACACATTTAGATAAATATTCCTTAAACACTCCTTACATAAATGATTTTACAAAACAATGTTAGGATCTTTCACACCCTTTTTTCAACACACAGTTCTCATCCCTTTGTTCACTTCCAGGAGGTGTTCTGGCGTATCCCAGGTGAATGGAGTCCTGCCCAGTTGAGACAGCTTGTGGAAGGGCTGACACTTGATGAACAGGGGGTCCCAAGTCAGGCTCATACCATCAAAATCCACAAGCCTCCCGCGCCCAAACCCAGCAAGGCCAAGGTCAAGGAAGTGAAGAAGAAGAAGGATGACAAGAAAACATCAGACAGGATGGAGAGGTTGAAAGCTATGGCTAAACAACGACAGCAAAATAAGGGCAAGAAGCCCAGGAGAGATCGAACAAGGTATTATATAAACAGGATAATAGAACTAACGCCAATCCAAAAGTTAGTGGTTATTTTGTGGAGTGCTGTGCTTGAGCATGGATACCCGAGATACACAGGGGGATAGATGAACAGTTAAATATAAAACAGATCCTGATGAAGCCTTGCACATATATATAGAGGCGAAACCAGCCGGCTATTAAATGAAATAAGTACCAATTTACTGATGATGCTCGAGCATGTGGTGATTGATTCTTCCCTTTATATAGGTATTATAAGATTATAAGTATTTACCACATACCTATGTAATCTTACAATAGTAATACAACAATTTTCTGTTGATGTTTTCTGTCGGTTTGTATCACACATGTGTGATACAAGATGTTGTATCACCATACTAGCCGGACCTACTTTTTAGGGGAATTCCCTTTTTCCATCTGGACTAGGTAGCAGAGAACAGTAGAAATGGCTTGACCTTAAAAATAAAGGGCATGTCTCGGATAAACATGGATAGCGGATTCATCCTGCACATCACACCTACATATATATATATATTTATAAACTACATTTTGAATATGTTTTATTTAGAAGAATGATTTATTTTTCAAAAGTTGATTTCCCCAGATTTGGGACTTGTGAAAACCATGGTTACCACATCAAAAACACCAAAAAGTGTTTAAAAATCATGATTTTTTAACCCAAAATTTGACCCACGCTAGTAGTATTTTTTTTCTTAAAACCTGTCTTAAATTAAATATCACCTACTCGGTCGCAGAAACTCACGTTTTAGCATAGGTCCTCAAACTGGATTTTTCACAATATTTACACATGTGCTGAGTACAAAAATAGACTACATGAAAAGCTAGCTTTTGTTGGTTAGACACAGATTTGTAAATGGCCAAAAATGTAGTCTCAAGCCAGATTCGAATTTTTGTTCTTTTTAAATGTGAGGCCCACATAGTCCAATTCATCATGCATGTATATGCCAATTTTAGAGCTGATTTTGTTTTTTACTTTTGATACATGTAATATTACAGGGGTTATTCATTGTACACAAATATAACCCATGGCCACCGTACGCTCCTGTACACTGCTACCCTAGTCAGATCAACACATATGGGTGATTTTGCCTATTTATAAAATCTTTGTATCGATCTCTGCCAAATACGGAAGGTATGTGATAAAAGCAAGACCACACACTTGTGTTTTTCTATTCTCTTGAATATATGTATGTCTGTCCAAATTGTTTCTAGTGTGTTTCTCCAGCACTACATGTATTACATGTAGGGAAGACTATTGCTTTTCTTCACAGCATTGTACATATGTGGTTCCTAAATTAACAAAATGTTTTTTGGCAGTTCAGATTTCCCCCTCTGCATTAAAAAAGTAAGGTAGCACATTCAAATCAGTGAATGGGCCTTAGAAGCAATTAATTAGATTGTTATGGCCTTGATTAAACTTGTTTGCATTAATAAAAAATGTGTATTTGATTGATTTTGAAAAAAATTGAAAGTAGAAATATTACATTCGGATTATTACAATTACATTTACAGTCAAACTTCCATGTTTTGAACTTTGCGGGACATTTAGTTGTTCTCATACAGGTACATTTTTCATTTTGATTTAATAGTTGTAATTTTTCTGTTTCTTAACAACCGGGCCTTGTTTATACTTTACAGAGAAATTTGATTTGTCATTAGAATACTATACGGGGGGATATCCTGACTGCTGTAAGCTCGACACATTAAGAAATTTGTGAATCTTCGATTTATAGAAGTTTGACTGTAGTTGTGAGTCCTCTATTGACCCTATCCGAGGAGATTTTTTGGGTTTCAACTTGATCCCTCCACATATACTTTTTCTGGCTTTTTCCCCATTCTGCCCCAGTGCGTTTCACCTTTCAATTATTTATTCAAAAACATTGTTTTATTTTGAGCAATACCCACAGAATACTTGTTATTCTCTACATTTCCTTTGAACAGGAAGAGACGATCTGCTTCCCCACCTGTAACCAGGGATGACAGTGAGGATAGTATGGAAGATGAAGACCAGGGTCGTCAAGTCGCTGCTGAGGTGACAGAAAGCCCAAGTAGGGACACCATTACCAAGGTCACTCCACCCTCCAAGAAAAAGTCCCGCATCAGACGTGTGAAAGATTCCGACAGCGAAGACAGGTACGTGATATGTTGTTTTGGAGTTTTCTGTTCATATTTCTTCTCGTAAAGATAGGTGTACTGTAAGCAAGATTGATAGCCACATCAAATGGCTTTAGTCAAGTTAAAATCACAGAATATAAAATGAGATAAGCCGTTGGCTAGTGATTTATTAGTTATAAAGCTTGGTTATACTTTCTGTGTCATCAACAAACAAACAGGTATTACAATTTTGACTAAAACATGTTTATTGATAAAATAAAAATATGCATTCTTCTTCTAAATCCTACCTTTATTTCAGATCAGAATCTTTATTTACAAATGCTTGAGTGGGCTGTTGATGCATTTAAGACAAACTGTAGATTTTGTTCTTATGTCAGCTTGACTTGATTTCCTTGTGTGTGTTTTTTGAACAGTAGGATTTATAAAGAAACGTAAATAGCTCTGTTGTTCAGAAATTCAATAAGATTAATATCAGTTTTCTATTTTCTTCAACTTCAAAATGATGACATCACAAATGTAGTAACATCAAAATCAGGAATATGCAAGCCACTTAATTCATCAGATATTGAAGAAAGCAAAATAGAAGCTTCCTTGACACAGACCTAGCTGTAAACATATATATAATGTATCCAAATTGTACCAGTTGTTAATTCTGTTCCTCAGTGATGCTGGGCGTCCAATGTCTGATGATGATACCACACCGGCACCCGCCAGTGATACAGAGGCAAGTCAGTCACAGAAGCGTCCTCTAGATTTGGGTGATAGTAGTGATGATGATGAACCCTTACAGCCAGCCAAACGCGCCCGTATCCCCTCAGACACCTCCAAAAATAACACCCCCACACAGCCAACCAAGCGAGCCCAAATTTTATCAGACTCCGACAGTGATGAAGACACACCTGTACAGCCATCCAAGCATGTCCAAATTCAGTCAGACTCGGACAGTGATGATGATATCCCCCTAGTATCAAAGCTAAAACAAGGTGAGCAACATGATTTGTTTCTTTATTTCATATTTGTATTGCCATTTAATGTTAAAATCATAATATCTACCTATTCAAATTATTTTAGAAATTCATACATGTATTAATACAACAGAGGTTGCATCAGTAGTATTTCAGTCTATCCTTAACAATCAAAGTGATTATTTTGAAAGTCAGTAACAATCAAATTGATAATTTTGATGTGTTTATAAATGTATGCTCCCTTCCACACCACATGTCATTATATATATACATGTAGAGAGAGCAATATTAAGCATTTACATGCAAAATTCAAATAAAAGGATGATTATGAAGTATACAATACTTTAAATGTTACCGATGTAACATATAATTTTCATTTGTTGTCTGCTTCAGCCTCTTTTCCAGCTACCCAGTTTAGCTTGGAGATGGGAGGTAACTCTGACTCGGAACTTGATGACCACATACCACTTCGACAGGTGCTCAATAAGAAAAACAGAATTGAAAGTGACGAGGATGAATGAACATTTAGAAATCAGACTACCAGAAAAAGTTCATTTTCAACATGGTTGTTAAAAGTCTGTAGAAGGAGTTACTGGAGAACAGTTGTTTGCACATTTGTGGCCATTAACCTGGTCAGAGATTGTGATTTGAAACAACATTTGTGGCCATTAAGCTGGTCAGAGATTGTGATTTGAAACAACATTTGTGACCATTAACCTGGGCAGAGATTGTGATTTGAAACAACATTTGTGGCCATTAACCTGGGCAGAGATTGTGATTTGAAACAATATTTGCGGCCATTAACCTGGGCAGAGATTGTGCATTGAAACAACATTTGTGGCCATTAACATGGGCAGAGATTGTGATTTGAAACAACATTTGTGGCCATTCACCTGGGCAGAGATTGTGATTTGAAACAACATTTGTGGCCATTAACCTGGGCAGAGATTGTGATTTGAAACAACATTTGTGGCCATTAACCTGGGCAGAGATTGTGCTTTGAAACAACATTTGTGGCCATTAACCTGGGCAGAGATTGTGATTTGAAACAATATTTGCGGCCATTAACCTGGGCAGAGATTGTGCATTGAAACAACATTTGTGGCCATTAACATGGGCAGAGATTGTGATTTGAAACAACATTTGTGGCCATTCACCTGGGCAGAGATTGTGATTTGAAACAACATTTGTGGCCATTAACCTGGGCAGAGATTGTGATTTGAAACAACATTTGTGGCCATTAACCTGGGCAGAGATTGTGATTTGAAACAACATTTGTGGCCATTAACCTGGGCAGAGATTGTGATTTGAAACAACATTTGTGGCCATTAACCTGGGCAGAGATTGTGATTTGAAACAACATTTGTGGCCATTAACCTGGGCAGAGAATGTGATTTGAAACAACATTTGTGGCCATTAACCTGGGCAGAGATTGTGCTTTGAAACTATTATGACCTTGATCTAATTGGAGACTGTTATTGCTTGAATACAGTTATGACCGTGGCCGTGGAAACCTTTCTGATGATGAGTTTGGAACTGTTGCTAGGGAACACTTTAACCATCCTCCAGCTGCTAACAGATATTCGTGGAAGAATTGTGTTAGTAAAGGGGAACAAGAAGAACGGTTTCAGTTGTGAGCTCACATGTGGAAGGGGAATCCTGAAAGTGAATGGTAGCTTGTTGTGATTGAATGAAGAGTTCAGTTTTGAAATTTACTTACAATTAGCAGTTGTATGAGTCAATTTAAAAAACTTAATGAGCACTTGTAATATAATATAATCCAGCTACAAAGACAGACCTTTTGTGGATTATAAAGAAGAAAACACAACATGTGGTGATGGAAATTTTTCCAGATGACACCATAGTCATTTGTTGGGATTTAGAGATAACAGGTCTATGTAATATGTTCCATGTTGCTTTTCATTATGGTCGGGTTTATTCTTATTTCTTATATTGTATTGCATAATCAAGACAAAATCTAAAATAAAATATAAAAATATTAATATTATCACACGTTTTCACTTCTTTTTTAATAATATAAAAACCAGTATGGACACCAAATTGCAAGAGAAATGATATCGAAAAGTACCCAACTGCCACTTGTTATTGATGTTCTGTTAGAGGGTAGTTTAACTTATGTATCCAGTCTAGCTCATAGGCTGGCCAGCTGGTGTTAACCACAGACTGCAGCGCCTGGAAGCTTCAATGTTCTATCTGAAAATTAAGGATAAATACCATATACCTTTCACCGTTTTCATCTGGCAAAATTTATTATGGTTTATAATGGCAAATAATACTTTGAATATTACATGTTAATAACTTGATTGGAATTATAACCTTGAGTTGACAGTTTGATACTTTGAAAATTTTGAGCCAGCCCTACCCCCAAAGGGCTGTAGGGTGGGGCTCAAAGGAGTCAGTGTGCTAAAATTTCTTCATTTTAAGCCCACCTGGCCCGAAGGGCCAAGTGAGCTTATGTCGCGGTGCGTCGTCCGTCCGTCGTCAACTTTTAAGTTCAAAGAACTTCTTCTCAGTAACCAAAAGTGCTAGGGTAATGATATTTGGCCAGAAGCAGCTACAGATAAAGGGCTACCAAGTTTGTTCAAATAAATGACCTTCAACCATTTTCAAGGTCAAATATATTAAAATCTTTAAACAACTTCTTCTGAATAACCAAGAGACCTAGGGTGATGATATTTGGCCAGTAACATGCTGGGATAAAGGGCTACCAAGTTTGTTCAAATAAATGACCTTGATTTATATTTAAGGCCACTGGAGTCAAATATGTTTAAAACCTTTAAACGACTTCTCCTGAATAACTGAGAGGCCTAGGGTGATGATATTTGGCCAGTAACATGCTGGGATAAAGGGCTACCAAGTTTGTTCAAATAAATGACCTAGACTTATATTTAAGGTCACAGGGGTCAAATATGTTTAAAACCTTCAAACGACTTCTTCTGAATAACTGAGAGGCCTAGGTTGATAATATTTGGCCAGTAACATGCTGGGATGAAGGGCTACCAAGTTTGTTCAAATAAATGACCTAGACTTATGTTTAAGGTCACAGGGGTCAAATATGTTTAAAACCTTCAAACGACTTCTTCTGAATAACTGAGAGGCCTAGGTTGATAATATTTGGCCAGTAACCTGCTGGGATGAAGGGCTACCAAGTTTGTTCAAATAAATGACCTAGACTTATATTTAAGGTCACAGGGGTCAAATATGTTTAAAACCTTTAAACAACTTCTTCTGAATAACCGAGAGGCCTACGATGATGATATTTGGCCAGTAACATGCTAATGAAGGGCTACCAAGTTTGTTCAAATGAATGACCTTTGCCCATTTTTGCTGAATTACTAAGTCAAGACGCTGATATTTTGCCTGTAGCTTTATTTTAGTCCTCTTTTAAGGTTACAATTGTGAGATTAATACCAGGTGAGCGATGCAGGCTCATTGGGCCTCTTGTTATTTTCAAAAGAGGGTCATCAACCTCTTTTAGTATATCCAGGGTTGGCAGGTATGCAAGACCAAGATATGGTAGAATCAAATATATACTCTTCAAAGATGGAAGGGTCTTAAGGTGCTTTACCAAAATTGTGAATTTCTTGACCTTGGAGTCTCACGTTTCCCCCTGGGGAAATCACAGTTTGGACCAACATTTGTTTAATTTCCATTAGAAGTAATTCAATTTGGGTTAGCATTATCAGTATTGGATAGCAGTTTGATGGTCAAGATAACTTGAATAAATGTTGACGGAGTTTAATGAAACTTTGTTCAATAATTATTTGACGGTAACATGCAGAGTTATTGCCTTTTGTCATTATATTATTATTTGTCCCTGTGATGTTGATTAACATTACACAAGAATAGATGTAAATTCATGTGGTACACCTTGTTTTCATGCATGACGCTTTTTTGTCCTTATTTGATAAATCATTGATTTACACTTTACTTGTTTTCTTTTAACCAAGAACAGAAGACATACAGTTACCAAGTTTGTTCAAAACAGGTCAAAATTGGAGTCACACCCATTTATTTCAGTTATCGTGTTCATATTTACTGAAGTCATTGTGTTCACAAGGAAAAATTAATGGACGATGCAGCAAGGTCACTCGGACCGACGAAAAGTATGAATTGGCCCCTGGATGACAGTCCTAATTTGAATCGAATGTCAGGTGAACGTTAAGGCCCATGGGCCTCTTGTTTGTCACTTTGAATAATATTTCTGTTCATGTCAAAAACAAAATCAACTCTCTGTATACAGAGAATCAGGTGACCGTTAAGGCACATGGGCCTCATGTTAAATCCTTGTAATTCTTCTTCAGTACAACTGGAGAGATTTTAACCAAATTTTGCTAGAGCATCCGTGGGCAAAGGGGATTCAGTTTTGTAAAAACTGAGGATGTGGCCCTCAAGGGCAGAGGGGCAGGGCCCAATAAGGGAACTTAAGGTTAATCTTTAAAATACTTCTCCTTCAGTTTCATTGGGGGTATTTTAACCAAACTATGTGTAGAACATCCTTGGGCAAAGGGGACTCGATTTTTGTCTCGCCGCCACAAAGTAGGGAGGCGAGACTAAGGTGTTGCTTTTCCGACGGCGGTGGCGTCAACATGACGTTTTTTCGTTTGACTTAGTATCACTGAAAGTATCAGTGCTAGACCAACTTAACCTGGACCATACGTATGCATGCATCTTAGGTAGTACATCTCGACCCAAACATCAAAAGCTGGAATGCGGCCTACCTTTCATGGACTTTGTCAGCATCTCCATCAACATTGAGTTTTTGCGTTTAACTTAAGTTTCTCTGATATGTGCATTAATGGGAAGTGGGGCACAGGCGAGACATCAGTCCGAATGGCTTGTGTATAAATGGAGGTTGCTATTAGGAGGCAGAAGGGCGTGGTTCCACAGGGGACATTTAGGTAAGTGTTTAAAATCCACCCCAATTCATGACCGCATATAGAAGGAACCTAATGAGGGACTGGTATTGCTGGGAGACCGAGCCAATGTTTGAAAATAGTTGCAGTGTTATTAATAAGAATGGTTTCCCATGGTTGCTTTATTAGCCATTTTAGCGATACAGACCCTCCTCGGCCTTTTTTAGGTCACCTGAGACAAAGTCTCAAGTGACCTATTGCGATCGCCTTTTGTCCGTCTTCGTCCGTCGTCCGTCGTGCGTCCGTAAACAATTTAAATATACATTTTCGACTTCTTCTCCAAAACCCCTGAGCCAATTTCAATGTAATTTTGCAGGGACCTTCCATGGACAAAGGTCAACAAAAAGAGTGGCTGGTTTAGTCCCAAGCCCCCAGGGGCCTGAGAGGCGGGGCCAAAAAGGGTCGAATTGACTAAAATTTCAAAAATCTTCTTCTCAAGACCCAGATATGGTAGAATCAAATACTCTTCATAGATGGAAGGGTCTTAAGGTGTTTTACCGAAATTGTGAATTTC